AAAAAAAGATTTAATAGGACTTTTAAACTTTATCTCGGTAACTTGGTTTACTATTTTTAATTAAAATAATCTTATATTGTAACTTACAATTTACTCAGTACATACTTATATTATTATTGTGTTAGAATTCAAAATGTTTATAAATAAAATTAAGAAATTTTGAATGAGAGAGAACTTACTTCCTACGTTTTCATTTACGCAACCGTACATGGAAACTTCATAAGATAATATTTTATGAGACGACATAAATTTATGCAAAGAAGATTGTGACAAAGTAGATCAAGGTGTGGAGGGGAGCGTGAGAAAATATGTGACAATGAAGATTTAGGATAATCAAAAAATTGGGAAAAATTGTGCAGAAAATCCAAAGTGCAGTAGCTAATAAGTTCGGGATTTAGTTACAGGTTACAACCACAACAAAGAAAATACAATTTCTCATTTGTAACTATTTGTATTTTGATAGAACATTTTATATCTTGACCAGAATAATATCCCGACAAAATTATTAGAGCACTAAGATTTTAATGTTTTTTAAAATAAATGTGGGGGAGAAGAATAATTGGTTCTTAATATTTTAAAATTAAAATTTTAATCATAGAGATTTACAATCACTAATTTAAGATTTTGTTTTTTAGTAATGCAAGAATGAATAATAACTTTTTATAATCATTGTGGGGTGGCGGCGGTGGGGGGGGGGGTAGATAAGGATTATGGAAGAGAAGAATCCTATTTTTTAATTACTACTTCCGTCCCTGAGTATTGGTCCACTTTTGACTTTTCCGACTAATTGTTTTCAATATTTGACTTAGAATTAAATAAAATATATTATATATTAAGTATATAAAAAATATTTTGAAAATGGATGATATAATAAATATAATAAAACTAATTTTGTATTAATATCTAATACCGTTTTTATTTAATTTGGGGTCAAAATTTACCAATTTTGACAAAAAAAGTCAAAAGTTGACAAATACTCAGGGACAGAGGAAGTATATAATTATAAGGTCGGTAATTTAGCTGTTTTAAATTAATGTGAGGAAAAAAAAATCATTGGATCACTAATACTTTTGTATTAATATATTTTCGAATTTATACTGCGATAAAAATTATAAATTTGTAAAAATACATTAAACAAACATCATTTATATTTGACCTTTAAATAATATGTTAAATTTAAATCAAGATCCACATTATAGAATCGAAAAAAATTCTGTCCAAACCCGTGCATGGCACATTTTTATATTTTTGCACATTTTTATTTATTAATTTTCGCACATTTTTATATTTCAAATGTCGAGTAACTCTCCTTTAAGATCTTGGAACAATGTTGTGAACTCATATTAAATATTTCCTTTTTGTTTCCTTGGTCTTATAGGGAAGACCAAAGCTCAATCTATGGTGTGTAGGGATCGATGATGTCAACCATATAAACGTAAATACCAAATCTACCCAAACCGGTTACCTCAAGGAGCTTCAAGCACTTCTTTGGTTGTCTCAAGATCCCGTCTTTGCATTTTCTTCATTTGCAAAGGTGTTTTCGCAATTTGCAGTTGTGGATAACCCATACAAATTCTTCTAAGACAAGCTCATGCACTAGAGGTGGGTCACCAAACCCAACACAGGATCTCAAATAAAGAGGAACGATTGCAGTCAATATTTTTTTCTTAATTAAATATATTTTTTTAATTATAATCTTTGGTGTTTTCCCTCAATGATGCCAGGAAACAAGCTCTGCCTTTATAACAAGCCAAGTAGCATGACTTCTGCTCTACTTTACAGCTTCCTAACTGTATGCTCTGTCTTAATTTTACTATCCACTTCTATCTCACTTACCCTTTGCACATATAAGCTCTGTAAATATTAGCTGTGAATGAAGAGATAAAAGTTTGACGAGAAGAGAAATAGCCTTGGAAATTGCACTATCTTTTCTCAGATAAATATCAAGTTTGGCAGAATAATCCAATAATGGGGGCTCTGGTACTAAATGAGAAAGAGAAGTAGAATGAGAGAGATGTATTTACACTATATGGTAGGGGTCAAGCAAATAGTAAGTTCATCCTTATGCTTAAAAGGTTGATGGTGGAATCAGTTTTGGTATATTTAGCCAATACACCAACAATAATTGTTCTGGATAAATATAATACAATGCATATTAAACTACATTATTAACAGCTCTTCATAGTGGTGATTAACTCTGAATACTGCAGAAGACTCCAATTGTACCTTCAAGTTCAGAGAGTTGGGATGAATGGGTTTCATAAAACTTTTAGGTATAACCACATTGGAAGTATTGTAATTTATTGAAAAAAGTATTAGGATTGGAAAAAACAAAATACTACGTAGTAGTGAATTAAATAAAAAAAGCATGAGAATGAGCATATATGTTTAACATATGTATATGTTTATCAAATGATTATAAGCTTAGATGTTTTTTTCTACCATATGTCTTTGTTTTTTCAAATAAAACTCACTTTCAATCTTATATATGTCAAGCTTCGCTTGACATATAACCCCCACTCATATGAAATCGATTGCTGAAGTTGATCGGAAGAGGAATTGAAATTCCTCGCCAGTTAGGCTACGGTGAAGAATTTAAAGAGAAATTAAACACCGGTTACACATCAATATGGAACATAGGGTTGCGAACACCTTTTCCAGGGTTTCCAGTTGTCCTCTTCAGGCTCCCGGTGTTAAGGCGAGAGAAATTTAATTCATTTAGTGGGGCTAGGTGTATTTACTTGCAATGAAATTCAATAATGAACGTGAGTGCCTTTTGGGTGTAGGTTCTTAAAAATTGACTAAAGAGCAAAGCAGAGGAAAACCATAGGACCCAGGTGCATTTAAGTTGATACATAAAAGTTTTAATTCTGCAATCTATTTTTAGGTTTTCTCTCCTCCATCAATAATTGTTATTATTAGTATTATTATTGTTGTTATTTTTGTTGTTATTTTTGTTGTTGTGGAGGACAAACGGATGTTCAAAGAGGCCATTGTAGCTAATAAGAAAAGCATCTTCAAGACTTTTCATCTCAAGGTATAATTAAATTTCCAAACACAAAAGTCAGCGTCCTCCCTCTTGAGAAATAATTTTGCTACTATTGTCTTTAAACTTTTCTTATTCTGCTACAAAATTGAAGTCAAACTTATTTTAGGTTGGCTAAATTGTTTATTGTTCTAGAATGTTGCCAATTATATGTATTGCCTGCAACAAATTTGGGTTTTGGAAGGATCTATACCTGAAGAGGTATTAAGGGGCAAGAGATAGTACTATGTTATCTCAAGTGTTTCAATCCAACCCCACCACCCGTAGATTTTTTAGATGGCTATGAAACCACCGGAGTGTATATAATTAAATCCCTAAAAGGTAGTATACAGTTGCCTTATGAGAATAAAAAGGTAAGCTGGAATATTGGTTTCCTTTTACTTCAGTGAGAGTAATGGTGATTTTTGGCCTCATTTTGTCCTGGTTGGGGCATTTCATAGCTTGGAACTCACCTGTTTTCCTAGATAGGCAGTAAATACCGTATATCACAGTTCACTTTTCTCCCATTCCTAAAACAGTCCTTATAAATGAGTAGTCATAGACTAATTATATTATTCTAGACACTATAAAATCTGCAGGCTGTGATGATTATTAATAGAATTCAAGAGTTTCAATCATAACCAGTGTCATGGCGTGGCAGATCTATATTTGCAGCCATGGTGGGATTAGTCGATTGATAATCTGATTGAGAAAGGGTGAATTCCGAGCCTCATAACATCTTTCTTTGAAGATGAGTTGAAGTGGCTGAATTTATTTCCACTTTATACAATAATCTTATATAGCATTAGTGTCTTTAAAGACGCGAAACTTTGGAAAAAAATTGCCGAAAGACCGTACTAAGTGGCCAGGTGGTCACAGAAGGTTTGCAAGCTCTATTGTTTTCTTTATAATATCATGCAATCATTTTTTCCCAAGAATATTTTATTTGTGTTTTGTTACCACCATTTTTATTTTCTTTTTTGGAATGAGAAGAAACGGGGAGCAAACATCACATGATAAGACCATTTCTAGGAAGTTATATTCAAATATAAATTTCAAAAGGGGGAACATAATTATCAAAATAGAAAAGAGGACAAACTGTTTTCTTTTTTAATGTCTTTATTTCAATATTTGCCCAATAGTATATACCCTGCAGCAGTCAAAAATCACATAGTCACAGTAATAGTCACATAGTCTCTCTATCTAAAAGAGAGTTTTATTAATAAGTGTACGCTATAACACTCAGTCTTTGCCTTCATATGTCTACTGTTATGAGTCTCAGTGTGTTAACTCTGTTTGCCTTGGTGTAGCCATTTCCATATGGGCTCTCATTTTCCAGGAAAAGAAGACAACCTCAACATTGACCCAACACCGTCTTCTATGAAACAACTCACGATCATTATCCCTCCTTTTTAGTTTTGTTGAAATCTATTTTGCACTTGCTGAAGCTGGTTTGCCTTTGTTTTGCTCACTATTAGGATTATAGAATTCATAATTATAATCCTGACTAGAATATTGAATACATCTTCAATAATAAGATTGTCTATTCAAACACACACACACACACTTTGTTAAGGACGATAAAACAGAGTTTTATTATGAACTATAAAAAAGAGTTTTTAAAAGAATTTTTTTTAAGAAGCTTTGTTTTGGAAAGTGATGTGGTGGTAAGGCTTTTTATAATTCCAAACTCATTACTTTGCAGTGATATTGTTGGTATCGACTACACAACAAATAAATAACAAATGCAATACTAAGCTAAATTTGAAATGAAAATTAGCAAAATTATTTAGGTTTGTTTGGCTATTGGATGGCAGTTTTTCCTTTATTCATTAATTTGGATTGAGATAATTGGCGCTGGCGTGTTGTAGTCGTTGGAACATGAGGGTTGGAGTTTGGTTATAATGCTGGATTTTTTCCTTTTCTTTTTTTCCTCTTTTAGTTCAAAGTGACTTTGATTCCATCCCTCTTGCTATTTCTTTTTCCTTCTTATAGACTTTTACATAGTTCCTACACTCTTCTATATTTTTTTATAAAATTGTTTTTAAAAAAATTAAACTACAACACTACCAAAAATCTTAACTTTGGAGTTCTTAAAAAAATGAGAACTAACATACTTAGAAAAATGATTATTTCTACTTGAACACGCCTTTGAGTATTCATCTATTTTGTCCATCAAATATTCAAATGTACAATTAAAAAAACGAAAACAACACTCAGCATAAATCACGAGCCCGTGCGAAGCACGGTGTAGAAAACTAGTATAAAGGTAATTGTGCCAACTAACTTACCAATAACTTATGGTGGAAGACATTATTCTTTTTTGTTAGCTAAGGCCTAACAAATCTGCAATTCTATTGTTTCATAATATAATTTTCATTTGACACCAAAGACAACGGTAGGAAATGTAGGAATTTTTTTAGAGTAGCAAATTGGCATTTTTCTTGAAGCTCTAGCACCCACCTAGAGTACCCAGTGAGCTATAATATTCGAGCACCCACGCAGAGGGGTGCCAATTTGTGAAGAACAAAATCAGCAAAAGCACATTATACAAACCAAAAAGGATAAAGCTATATGTACCCCAACTTTTGTACCCCACTTTGTACCCCGCATTTGTGTTGGTGTAAAACTAATTTTTGTTAATGCACCGACACTTTGTGTCCGTGTAAATTTTTATTAACGCACCAACACTTGTGTCGGTGTAAACCATCAAAATGTTTGTGTATAACTTCTTACAAATGGGGTACAATTTGTGGTGTAAGTGTAGCATGGCCCAACCAAAAATATTAATTTCAAAAAGGTATAATGAAGAAATGTGTGCCAAAAATGTCAGGTACTAATGAGAAGAGATGGGCTTTAATTTATTGTTACATTAAGCATATCAAAGGAGATTGGGGTGGTATATGGTAATGGGAATTATTTATTATTGTTAAAGGTCACATATTATGTCAAGCTATGCATTCCTTAAATCTCAAATACGTAGTAATAAAGATTTTGAGTAATCCAGAATCCAGAAATGGAAACCATCATGGGTTGGACTATCTTATTCTAATCCATTTTGGCTCAGAACCTACACATATGATAGAAACCATCATTTAGCACACATATGCAGTACTAGATCTAACTAAAATTTACTGCTTTAGGTATCCTAAACCTTCAACTGAAAGAACAGTACACTACTTTAATAAGTACTACCGTAATGTTGAATTGAACATTTTCAACTCTAATAGTTTTACAAAGAATAGACAAACCCACCCAAAGCTTAAATATGTGTCGATGCGGTGCATGCACATCTACTCATCTGAGATTACGCATGTACTGTATATTGGGCTATTTCGTCAAAAACAAATCGCTTTTACTTTCACGTCTAGCAGTTCTCCACTTTAAAATCAGTCAAATGGATCCGATTCAAAGTGTTGCATTGAAAAACCCTATTTTTTCAATTCTTTGTTAGTCCAAACCTGGGGAGGCGTCAACAAACGCGGCACCGACCTGTTGATTGCCCCTGCCAACATCAAGAACGGAAACATTATAATTGGTTAGTAAAGAAAACACTGTCTAAATAGTCATAAAAGCACCCTACATGGCTTGACACATAAACTCATAACCCTCCAGGTAGAGACACTCTGACTCAGAAAGAAAAATCAAGCCAAGCGCCGAGTCATATGACACATGTCAGTCCGAACGCTGAAAAATTAAATCTTGCACCTTCTTAGAATTTGTAGCCAAAACATCCTCTTAGACAATTTCGGAGAGATTAGTACAGTCTCAAAAAAAAAGTTTGCTATTGGTAGAAATGTGCATCATAATAGTGAACTTACAACCATGCAAATAATTAAATAAATAGATAAATATGCTTACAATGTGTGCAACGTCTCTGCCTTCAATATCTAAATTTATTTTAAAATTAAACTTTAGGATAAAGATTATATTGTGATCGACTATCTTTTTCTAGAACTTTCAATACATCAACTATTTTACTCTTTTTAAGTTGATATTGTAGTCTATGCATATTTCATATCTATCAAACACTTAACAAATAAAAAAGTACTAGAGTAAATTACTTAGTCAATAGAGAATAAACAAATAAGGAAATATCTAAGTATACATGTGAAGCAATGGTGATGGAGAAAAACGGGGTGTGTCTAGACCTTTTTGTGAAATCAAGTGTAGACCTTTCGGTGGTTTGACTCGAATGGAGCTGTAATTCAACTAAAATCAATATCAAATTGAGGCATTCAGTTCATGTGAAAATCCAACTCAAATTGAGTTACTGGGAAGAATTACTTGCCATCAGAAACTCAAAAACACCAGGGAATAGCAATAGGGTGGTAGGTTTGTCGCAGGCTACTTGTGGAAGAGAATCATAAACGAAGTGAGCTGAATTAATCCTCCAACCGTCCAACATATTCTGAATAAGCAGAAAAAACAAAGTTATTTGCCAGCTCACATGACCAGTGTTAGTCTCTCAATATAAAAGCAGATTTTCCTATTATGGACACGTTGAGAAATGTCACAAGTGTGAGCAGTGAGAAACTCACCTCATATTTTAAAAGATAGGAGTAATATTTAATAATTGACCGTGCTAAATTGACAACATTAAAAAATTTGGAATCCTTCAACTATATAGATCCATTTGGTCCTTCAAAAATATACGGAGTATTGATTTATGAATATATAATAATATAACCAAAGATCAGCACCAATTGTACTTAATTAAAGCGACGTGATAACTTGTTTCAAAGTATCTAAATTGGACACCAAAAGAAATAAGGGACACATGAAGCTTATGAGCTTTTCAAAGCAACTTTTATACAAATAACCATAACTCTAACCAATGCCACTAAATCGAATCTATTAATCATTCATAAAAAGAGAATTAGAGCTCATCCCACTTTTATGAGCTGTTTATCACCTTCATTTTTTATTTTGAATTACTTCACACAACTTTAAACCATAAGAAGATGAAACTAAAGCATATTGAATGTGATTATAAATGAAATGTTGAGGGAAAGTGGGCAGTGCACATACCATAGCAAAGTAATAATGATTGAAAGGAATGATATCTTATACTGATTTTTCCATATTATATAAGGGAACGTCTCATACATGTGCACATTGTGAACAGGAAAACATAATATGTTAGAATAATAAAAAAGAGTTATCAAGACTATTGGGTTATACCCCACCAATATCAACAATAAACACATGGGAATACAACACATTGAGAAGGCTAATATAATTTACTAACCTTTCGGGAAGCGTCTTCACATGAGTGGTCCAGTGAGCAAACTAAAGCGCCAAAGTAGTGGCCATATTCCAGCTAAAAATCTTGATGGGTTGGCATGGGTTTATACTTTATATCATACAAATTATTGTTAGTGTATCTGAACAAATTCGCACAAATTAAAATTTTAGTTATCGAAACAGAATCACACAAAACCAACATTTATTTTTTCCATGATGCATCTTACCATAAAACAAAACATTAAAAATGGCAAATTAAGGTAAGAGGCCTAGTGTGAAATATATCTGTCTTCTTTACGACGATAGAAAGCTTAGTAATTAAAATCACTGGCAAACAATAAATTGATGGAAAGTGGGTGTTGTCTCTGTGTCATATAAGTGTACATGCATTCTTGGAAGGTTAGAGGGAGATTAACAATAAAATGAACATGGTCAAGATACTGATTTCTATATTTCAATGAAAATGAACAGTTTTAGAAAAAGGGGCAGATTCAGCTCAATATGAATGAAATCTATAAAATATGCGAGTTTGGGAATTGGGAGGGGACAATCACGGAAATAAGATTTTGCCACGATCACACGCCAAACTTGATAATTGGTTTCAGTAAACTAACCATGATTGGGATCTTTGACGCGAGCAGAGACGGCAAACCAGACTCTCCTAACCGGAAACGGCAGCTTCCGCCGCCTATCACCTTGGACCGGGACTTCGTCCTTTTGTGAAAAAACAATAGCCTTATCCCGGCCAGAATTCCTCTTATGTATCTCCGGCTCAACACTCCTCAATTGATTCTCCGACCTGACCCACCGCCAATAGTAAAATCCGAATTCCCAATGCAAAAAGTATTTAGATCCACGGACAGTGCCGCCGTACGGATTAGTGAAGGCGCTAGACTGTTCTTCGGCTTCATCTTCCTCGGGTCTCTCTCTCTTCTTATTTGGTACTGCTTGAGCAATCAGATGATTCTCCGAGAAGGGGTGCAAAGAATTTAAGACAAGTCTTTGAACTGATGAAGGAGAACAAGATGTATGCCAAACTCAGCAAATGTATCTTTGCAAGTGACAAGGTGGAATATTTGGGCCATTTCATTTCTGCAAAGGGGGTTGAAACAGATCCAAGTAAAATCAATGTCATTTCGAGTTGGCCAGTTCCTGCAACAGCTAAAGAACTCAGAAGTTTCTTGGGACTAGCAGGGTATTACAGGCGATTTATCAGAGGGTATGCCACACTCAGCAAACCTCTCACTGACTTGTTAAAAAAAGGGGGTATCAATGGTCAGAAGCTGCTCAACAAGCCTTTGTCTCCCTAAAATTGGCTTTGACTTCAGCCCCTGTATTGGCAGTACCTGATTTCACTCTAGTCTTTGAGATTGAAACTGATGCTTCTAAGGAAGGAATTGGGGCAGTCCTTATGCAGAATAAACACCCTTTGGCCTTCATTAGTAGATCACTTGGACCCAAATGGCAGAAGTTATCAGTGTACGAGAAGGAGTTGTTGGCCATTGTCTTTGCAGTCCAAAAATGGGAGCAGTACTTAATGGGCAACCATTTCATCATTAAAACTGATCAGAAAAGTTTGAAGTGGCTTTTACAGCAAAAGGTATCCACGCCCTTTCAGCAGTTTTGGCTCTCTAAACTATTGGGATTTGACTATGAAATTGTCTATAAAAGTGGAAGTGAAAATGTGGCTGCTGATGCACTATCTAGGGTTCAGGGATCAGAACTTCTACTAATGGCCATCTCTGTGGTATCTTCTGATTTGGGAAAACAAATCCAAGCCACTTATTCCCTCGATCCAAATCTCGAAAATATAATCAAAGCTCTTCAAACTTCTCAACCTGTGAAGCATTTTACATTCCAGGAGGGATACTTGAGGAAAAAAGGGAAATTAGTCATAGGCCCTAGTAATCAGTTAAAGGGAGATATCATTAAATGGCACCATTGCAGCCCAGAAGGGGGTCACTCTGGAAGGGAAGGCACTCTAAGGAGGGTTAAGGCTTTGTTCTATTGGAAGGGGATGACCAAAACAGTTAGTCACTTTGTGAGGAACTGTTTAGAATGTCAATCTTCAAAATATGAAACTCTTGCAAGCCCAGGACTGCTCCATCCATTACCCATTCCTGAGGGCGTTTGGCTGGACATCTCAATGGATTTCATCTCTGGTCTTCCTAAATCTATGGGCAAAGAAGTGATCTTTGTTGTGGTGGACAGATTGAGCAAATCTGCTCATTTCATAGCCTTGAAGCATCCCTTCACAGCATTAGAAGTAGCCCAAGCCTACTTGGATAATATCTTCAAACTCCATGGGTGGCCTAGAAGTATTGTGAGTGATAGAGATGCCATATTCATGAGCCAATTTTGGCAGGGGCTCTTTTCTTTGCAGGGCACTGAGCTTCACCTATCTTCTGCTTACCACCCACAAACGGATGGGCAGACTGAGGTAGTCAATAGATGCCTTGAAATGTACCTCAGATGTATGTGTGGGGAGAAACCGGAGGATTGGTGTATGTGGCTTCCATTGGCAGAGTGGTGGTATAATACACACTACCACACAGCTACTCAATTGACCCCTTATGAAGTGGTCTATGGACAGCCTCCTCCAGTGTATTTGCCTTACCTACCTGGGGAATCCAAGGTGGATTTAGTGGACAGGAGTATGCAGCGCAGGCAACAATTACTTACTCAGCTTAAGGCTAACTTACTCAAAGCCCAACACAGAATGAAGAACCAGGCTGACAAGCATAGGACAGAGAGGAGTTTTACAGTTGGCGACTGGGTGTGGTTGAAGCTGTAGTCCTATAGACAACAATCTGTCCAACAAAGGAGCAACAATAAGCTATCTCCTAAGTACTTTGGGCCATTTCAGATCGAAACCAAAGTGGGACAGGTGGCTTATAAGCTCAAGCTTCCAGACACTTCTAAGATACATAGTGTCTTTCATGTCTCTCAGTTGAAGCCATTTAGAGGAACTCTACCTGTAGCAATCCATATTCCTGGCTGGTTTCAAGGTAAACTTGCAGGTGAACGTCCCATTCCTCAGGCTATCTTAGACAGACAGCTGAAGAAGGTCCAGAACAAGGCACAAGTATACTACTTGGTTCAATGGGAAGGCTATAGCAGACTAGAAGCTACATGGGAACCAGCTGAAGACTTTATGGCTAAGTACCCTGATTTTCCACTCAATGTGCAGACTTGAGGTCAAGTCTTTTGAAGAGGAGAGCAATGATAAGGGTTGTTAGTAGTTGTAAGTTTGTTAATAGTGGTTACAGGGTTGTTAGAGGGTTGTTAGTTGGTTAGCTGATGTGGCAAAGCAATTTGAGTTGTATAAATACGTAGGGCTATGCTGTAAAAAGGGAATAATGATGAAATCAATCTTCTTCTTCTCTCTAAGTATCTTTCCCGGTTCTTCCTCCCCAAAATATCTTCCCTTCTTCCCCAGTCTTCTCAGACATTCATAGCAAGTTCAGCTTGCTATATCAGAAATCACTAGATATGATGGTGAGTCTTTCCTCAAAGTCCGTTGGGATTCTAATCATTTTGGTCAGTTTGCGTGCCTCTCATCAAACTTCGGGATTAAACCCTCTCGGGTTATCATCCCTGCCGGTAATTCTTTAGAAGGACTCAAACTTTTCAGCAAGGGCATCTCTGAGATTTTAAGGTTTTTAGATGGGAGGTGTACTGAGAATAACAATCTATCTCTTCCAAATGGTGAAGAAGTAGGTTCCAGGAAGTTTAATGCAGAAAATGATGAAGGATGGAGATGCTACCTTAATGTGATGTCTTCTTGCAGGGTAGAGGAAGAGCAGAAGGGATTTGGAACTAGGGCCTTCATAGACTCAACAATTGAAAAGGAGCTGGAAAGACTTCCGAGTCATACTCAAAATGCAGACCTTACTTTCGACCAGGACTGTATGAAGAAATTTGATCAAGTCATTAAGGACAACCTTAACCTCTTCCGGAGATCAATTGCAAACAAAAAGTTTTTGCATGCTCTAAACAAGGGTCAAATTCTCAGTTTCTCCGGGGAAGTTCTTAGGATCACTCGAGAAGCTATGAAGAGCTTCGAATTCATAGATGCAGCAACTATTGAAGGAGCGAAGTACCCGGTTTACCTTGCTTATGCGAAGGAGGATATGAAGGCCGTTCTCACTCATCTGTGTGGAGTACAGGATTGATAGGGGGAACACAATATGGGTAAGGGAAGCTTTTTCTGGGATTTTCTTGGTTTCTCTTAGTTTGTTTTTGGGTATTTGCTGGCTTTTCCAGGTCAGTATTCATCATGTTAAGGCTTAGGAGCCAATGGTATTTAAAGTATAGAGCTTTTGATTTGGGCTATGCTGCTTATGGTGGAATTCTATTGGTATTCACTTTGCTGCAATTTTGAGCTCGTAGTGGGTAATGCAAGGTTTTTTGGGAATTGATTTTACGTGAACCTCTGCAATGAGAACCTCTCTAATGGGTTTCGTTCTGCTATACTTTGGGAAGGATCACCTGTAGACTGGCCAGGCTTCTTCATATGGCAGGTGAAAAAATTTTCAGGTCGAAGAGGACGAAGGCTAGTAGGAAGATGTATTTACTCCTAGCTGTGGATTTCTGGGCACCTCTTTGTGAGAGACATGTTGGGCTGTTCTCTTATAGAGGAAGTTGAAATATATTGGGTTGTTTTTTGACCCTTAAGAGGAAGTTGTTTTGCTATTTACATCTTTTGGTTTCCATTTGGTTTCTTCTGTTATGCTTTTCGGTTTGATGGACTGGCCTTTGTTGGGATTGGCCACCCCACCCTTTGTACTTTTCTCATGTTGAATAAATTTTTATTATTATTATTATTATATATATATATATATATATATATATATATATATATATATATATATATATATATAACCCTCAAAAATATCTTGGGCATGTAGAGAAATTGAATTGGAAGGTTTTGGAGGTAAATGACCCTCTGGTTAACGCTTTTTATATGCCCGTCAGAAAAATTATCATGGTTTGCTGAAGTATTTTAGGTGTAATATTCAGCTTGCTACTAGTATTGGTCATGAGGTATTATATGCACTACTAGCTCATTAGCATTGTTTCTAAGTTGCTTCTTACCCACATTTTATTGGTCTTAATTGTATAACTTTAACTTACCCTAAAAAAGATGATCATTTTTTATATGAATGTTGTGTCAATAAGTTAACACGTCAAATAAATTAAATAGCATAATTTGAATATATATATATATATGAAGTAGTTATGTTGAAATTTAAAAGAATATAATGAATGTTATGTCACTAGCTATTATCTTCTTTCAAGACTTTTCCATGTTTGTTGAATTTTTTACAATTGGGCACACACCCGGATAGTAGTTGTTGGTTTAGGAGAGTAAAACCAAGCTACCATGTCGGCATATATGATATACATTGTGTATGTGCACAGTTGCACATGTTTAAGAAAATGTCAATATCTCTTTTTAACAAAAGAGGCCGTGGAAGTAGGGGTGACTATAGAACATTATGTGCTTATTGCATAATTTTTGTACAGTACGGCAAAAAGCACCCCCATACTTATGTCGAAGCAGAACGAACATTGAATTGTTCAGTACATCAACAATAAAAGTAACTATGTTAAATCTACAATAAAAATAAAAGGGACATAGTATGTGTCGTTGTAAAATTAGAATTCATAAAAAAAAAAAAAGTTAAAGCGCAAACATAAATGACAAATAAGAAGTGCTTTGTTTAATGAGGAAATATATTTACTAATAAAGGATTCAGAAATGCACAAATGCACTTTATAAAGGCAAATAATGTAACAAATGTAGTTTAAAGGATAACAGTAAGAATTTCTAAAATTTGATTAGAAGCACCATCATGTTTATTTACAAGCAAAACTAATGTTGAACGGTGTGGCACACATGTAATACAAAATTACCATGTTAACATTTTACATAGTACATGAATAAAGCGTGAACACTAATGATGTTATTCCTAAGCACCAGCAACTGCAACCTAGTCTTTGTAAACTGAAATAGCATCGTCCAATTTCTTAATTAAACAACATGGACACCTTTAATAACAAGGAATCTTGACATTCTGGAATCCAAAAGCTTGAGTCGAAAGAGTTCTTAGACTTGAAACTGGATGGATTTTTAAAGGGGGAGAAATATGATGACCTTGTTGTGTGGCTGCCTGTTAAGATTCAAAAAAAATGCATTACCATGTACTTGCATAACCAAATAATTGTAGAAAATCAACTATACGGTAGGAAATTTGAGAAAAATAATATCAAACATGGAGTTATGAACTATTAGTTAATTAATACTCAATGGTAAGCCCACACAAACATTAACTGATAACAAGGAATTAAAATCCCGAGAATATATATAAAAAAAATAGAGTTGAAGAATGAGCACATCAAAAATGAGTTGTATTGAACATGCATGAGCTTATGCATATTTGTATGAAAAAAGGACAAAACAAGTGTAATTAGAAAAACCAACAACAATCTTAAGTCAATCAAAATAAGCACACCTGATAGTGAAAAGAAAAAAACAAAGCATTACACATATGTGCAAGTGCTGCAAATTTAAAAACATCCATATAAGTAAGCAATTGACTTGAGGAATTAAATCAGTGAGAACATCCCAATTGCAGCCATCACGAAGGTGAATAAGCCCACATCAAACACATGAACCATTCACAGATAATAATGTACTGCAAATTCTTTATAATGCACTAACAATTATTTATAATGCACTAAAATACATATTGCGGGGATTTAGAAAATAGGATAATGAATCATCTTGGCTATTTCCAACAAGATAAGATGCCACACAAGTATATTGTGATACATGCGTACATTATCTTCAAGTCCTTGAAAATACAAAAATGTACCTATACAAAAACCCAGGGACTGTAGTATTTGCATCTACGTGATGCACTACAATCTAGACTAGAATGCAATACTGTGTAGAAACAAAAATATAAAATGATTTTAAAAAATACTTTATTGCATTGAAGAATCCAATGGTTTGGTCAAGTCATAGATGCACGAAAAAAACAAAAAAAATAAAGATGATTTTCAAGAATGTGAATGATGCAAAATGTATAAAATTGAAGTAAAATGTGATCGATTGGTGCAATAGTTAGTTTATACTAGACCATAGATGAGTGTGTGAAAGAATATTGAGGAACCTAAATCAATTAAATGACAAAGATGATTGAGAACATAAAAATAAAACATACCAGATTGTGTTGTAGATTCCATCGGAGTTTTCTCGTTTGAATACTTCAAGATGATTGAGAATCATGCCTATGTTTTTAAGGAAATTAACCAATGGTTTGGTCATTAAATTCTCCATGATCGCAACTCGAAAATGTAGAAATATGAGGAGCAAGAAGGTAGATCGTGCGTAGATCTCGAACGGAAAGAGAAAGAAGAAGAGATCTTCGGAAAATTTTACGGATATCATCTACCATTAAAAAGGATAGATAAGACTAACAAATGAAAACCCCAAAATGCCCATACAGTGAAACAAAAGTAGGTTGTGGAACGATCCAGATCTAAGGGTTACAATTCATTCTTATTTCTTTCATAAGATCTCATTCTCACCTGAACCAAAATATATATATATATATATATATATATACCTATCTGTGCCAATCTTCTGGAGAAGAAAACACAATTCATAACTTCGAAAAATGGCTCCATCCTGGGTTTCACTCAACATACTTCATCTGACGCGCCATGACGATGTTGTCAAATTAAGACTCTTAAGTCATTACAATCTTAAGCCAAGAAAGATTAGTGAGAACACAGTTTATATATGCCCATGAAGCTATATTCCAAGATGACGAGGTTTAATTTGCAAAACACTGTTTTATCACATTATTAGTATTGTTCTCTCACTCTCTGTTTCACATTCTGTTTTTTTTTCACATTCTTTTCATCCAAGACTCATTTTAAATTTTCCTATGTGACACTAGGGAAATCGTATACACGTTTTTTTGTGAAAAGCCATTGATTTCACGCTTTAAGTCACTGCTGAAGGAGGGGTCAAATTCATAGCATACAGAATATGTGTCTCAAAAAATACTCAATGGTTGACGAACCATAAGTACAAACTTGCATTGGTTAAGGATACCATTGTAAGTGTTGTGGAAGTTGACTCTTTTCCTGAAGCTGTCTACAAATTTGAAGATTTCACAGAGCTAAACAATGCAGTCGATATCCAAAACTGAGTCATGTTTGGTAAGTAAGGACTTTTAATACTTATAAGTTCCATTTCTTTCATAAAGTTACTCCGTTAATGCTAATTATTTTATTACTACGTTTTAGATGTAATTGGCTTATTATCCCTTGATTTACCACCAACCCAAAGAATAGGAAAGAGCGGGGCAGAAATTAAATTCATGGATGTTGACTTGGAGGATTTGGAGTACACAGATCTGCTCATGTGGCCCTTGCAACAAATCTGGATTTGTTTTGAGGTTAGACAAGATATTTAATTAATATTAGTAAATAATAATGAAACCTAAGTACAATTTNTTACTTAAAGACTAATGATGTTTTGTTGTTTTTATTTATACTCAGATTTTACCTTTAAAAAAAATACTCAGATTCTAGGTTTTGTTTTTGTAGGGAGATGATCTTGAACTCCCATTACAGTTTAATGATGTGAAAAACAAACCACTTTTGTTTGAACTAGAAGTCAAGAAAACAGGAACAAACTCTTTTGAACAAGCTTTTTCTGTCCATCAGATTATAAAGGATGACAAAGTATTGGAACGCTTTATAGTGGGTAGCTCTAGCACCCAGGTATTTGATACTCCCTCCGTCCCTATTTTGATTACAATATTCTCTTTTCACATACTTTAATATTATGTCAAATCAAATAAATCATTTTCCAAAATACCCCTAATCAATAACTAGCCCCATATTTACTTTTTGCACACATGGGGGTGGGGATATAAAAGGTGGGGGTATTTTTGTCTTAAAGGTGTCCAAATGTTATCAAAATAGAATATTGTAATCCATTTGGGGACAATAAAAAGGAGGAATATTGTAATCAAAATAGGGACGGAGGGAGTATATTTTATACTCCCTCTGTCCCCCATAGATCTTCCCATTAGCCCTTTTTATTTGTCCACCAAAGATCTTCTCATTACTTTTTTAACAATTAAAATACCACAACTACCCCCACTTACTTTATTTATTACACCTTACTCACTTCATTTAATACACTCCACCTATTTTCATTAAGGGTATTATGGTAAACTTTCACCTTTTTTCAACTCTCCTTAAAAACTACAAAAAGTCAAAACGAGAAGATCTTAGAAGGACGGAGGGAGTATGTTTTATGGGTTAATAGCATTGTTGCCCCCCGTGGTTTATAAAAAGTGCGTCAAAACCCCCTTTGTTTTCAAAAGTTATTTGTAAAGTCCCTGTGGTTTCTAAATAGAGCACACATGCCTCCCTTACCTATTTTTAAAGAAAAAATGACATTTATGCCCTTTGTTTTCCCCGATCTTAAATTTTTCCAATTTCAATTACCTTTATTATACAAATATATAAAATAAAATATACGCTTCCCATCTCAAATTAGAATTTTTTATAATGTACTTTTGAAAACAAAAGATTTTTTGGAGAATGTTACAAAAAAATGAAAAATAAAATATTATGTACAAAATAAAAAGTAATAATAGTTAAAAAAAAGGTAATGAAAAGAAATAAAAATACAAAAAATATTCTTTTTCTTTAACTTCATATTTTATTTCATCTTTCTGTTCTTCATTTTTTAAAGTCCTTAAAAAATTATTTTACTTTTAAACAACAAATAAGTTAGAATTTTTAATTAGAGATAGAGTGAGTATATGTTATCCAATTTTTATTTTATTTATTTTACTTTTACTTATAATGAAAAAGTGTATTTTATTTCATTTTTGTAACATTTTCTAAAAAAAATTATATTTTTGAAAATTAAATAAATAAAAAATTTTAATTTTAGAAAGAGGGCGTATATTTTATTTTATTTATTTGTATGACAAAAAATGTAAAGAGAAGAGTGAAATTTGAAGATAGAGAAAAACCAAGGGCAGAAATGTCATTTCATGTGTAAAATAGGCAAGAGGGGGTGTTTGTGCACTATTTAAATACGACAAGGGTTTTACAAATAACTTTTGAAAGTAGAGGGGGTTTTGCCGCTCCTTTTCTAAACCACGGGGGGCACCTATGCTATTATCCCTATGTTTTATGTAATAGCAAAACAATGATCAATACTTGCTTTTTAACAGGGTTCTGTGAGAAGTAAAGCTCCCAAAACCAAGGTAGATACAGCTTAGTTGGCTGCATGTGTGGACAATTCTAGAGAAGACCCCGGTACCACACTTGATAAGGATGGAACTACATCTACTATATCTACAAATATCAAACGAGACCTTAAAAAGGAACTTGATGATGTGGGGATGCAGTTAACCAAGAACCCTAAAGTGAGTGTCAATATTGAGAAAGTTTGAAGTGAAGATGGATATGTTTACATCCTTATCAGTGTTTTGTTTTAATATTAAGAAGTGTGCCCTGCACACATTTCCCTTATTCCAGACTCATTTTCTTACTAAATACTCATTTTAATTTATTAGTGAAATATTTTAAGCAAGATGACTGCTTTCATGTGAATATGTCCCTATAATGAAAGATGATCACAGTAAATATATGTTACTGTTTCATTAAACTGTTAAGGACCTTACTACCTTCAATACATTGTTAAATGAAGAGAACAAAAAATTTAACATTTTCATTCGGAATTTCTGTTTAAATTGCAGATTACAACAGACTAAGGCATTTCTTTTTAAAATTGCGTTTTTTTTTTGCACCCAAAAAAAAACTGCACGTGTAAAATGAAGAGTTCAAAGTCAAATAAATACCTCTCACAGAAACTTAAGTTTAGTGGATTCTCTCCAATAAAAGATTGATTTTCACTTCTCAATATATGGTACTTTATTTAACCACCTAGAAAAAAGAAACTATAACCTTCCTGCTACACCAGAAACAAAACAAATGTCAGATCTTTAGAGCCAAGAGCTCTATGCCCTTCTAGATGCAAAACCAGAGCCGAGAAGCACAAAGAGAATGCAATTTTTTAAAATTATTTGTTATTTAAGCTTAATTTATATATTAAAATCTTAAATTTTAATATGCGCCAAACCTCATATAAATCCAATTGATATGAAGTGTAAAGATATGATCTTTCAATAAAAGAACTAAAATTAAAATTTTCATTTCTTACCTTTGAAAGACAATTCAGATCGAGCTCAGATCTTTACATTTTTCTGCGATTCAACATGGCATGCGCTAATCTGTATTTAATGCATCGATTTCTAGCATGCGTGTCAACAAACTGCCGGTGAACACCGGCGGAGAAGATCACCGATGGCTAATCACTTTCTCGCCATTTCTCTCTAGGTCTGAACTCTGAAAATTCACAATGAAATGTAGTTGCTCTCATTATCACTTTGTAATCATAAAAATAAAAGAGTAAGTCTAAAATGACACTAGTGTTACTGGTGTCATTTGCTTACACCAATTTGTTTGGGGTATTGATAGATATTGGGTCTGATGGACCCGATTCCAAGCCCAATAAAGGCCCACAATAGCACGAAATGAACAAGGCCAAGTGCCAGTAGCGGATTAAGCCCACTAAGATGCGTGTGGCGAATAAGAAAGGACGGCCCAATCATGAGCTAGATTAAGATAACCCAGTGCAAGGAAGGAATGGGATACGTGGCCCGCACCACCAGATTGTGGACGAGATGGGAAGAGAATGAGACCGGAAAAGAGGGAATCACAACCTCATGATCTCCATAATCCCTCCCATTATGTATAATTTTAATTACGATATTAGAAGTACTATAAAAAGGGAAAGAACCCGCCATTGTAAAGAGAGACAACTGAAACAATTCTACACATAATCAAAGAACATTATTACGAGATTATATCTTTCTGATTCATATTACGTTCTTGGTCCGCCATCTGATCGGGTTAATCCCATCATTGGTGCTTTCATTGAGAACTAACTGTGAGTTAAGGCTGTGAGATTATGGTCGGACGAAGGACGAGACATACACCGCTACTTCCGCCCAATCAACAGTGAGGAGTGACCACCCTGAGCAGGGTGTGATCGTTCCTATCAATGGGTTGGAAACGGCGTTGAATAATGTGGCTAACATGATGGCCAACATTATGGAACGGCTAGACAAGGCTCTCCCTTGTCCATCAGGTACCCGGGATGTCCCTGGCGGGCAACCCCGCTAGATCCTGCGTACGGCCAGTTCTCCCATCCTCCAGGAGCTACATGATCCGAAGGAGGTCGAGAGGGAAAGGCAGGCTATAGCTAGGCGCCGGGCGGAGGAATTGGCCCGGAATAGTAGGGCGAATGGAGATCGAGCCACGGCTGTGAGTCATGTCGTTGGCAACGGAAACGAAAACCCACGGGGAACCGTTTTTGAAAGGATATCTCACCAGAGGGCTCACGTCAGTGAGGGCTGGGGAAGAATCCGGACAAAGCACCCCAGGGTTGGGTACGACCCCAGGGCAGTCAGGTGGCATCCTCTAATCGCAAACCGCAGCAGCGAATCGGCCGCGGTGGGAGCCAAGCACCGATGCAGACATTGGTGGTCATAGACGAAGACAAAGTTCAGAGCCAGGTCAGGTCCCAGCACCGCAGTGTCTGGGGCCGCAAGTGCCAGAAGCCGGCGAATTCCAGGATCTGAGGCAACAGATCCAGGAGATGCAGAGGAAGATAAACAGGGGACGAGTATTCACTACCCGAATGAATACTCCCCTAGCCCTGGAGATCTTTGCGGAACCCTATCCGTAGGGATTCAAGATGCCGTTCGTTAAGCGTTATGATGGGGAGTCGGATCCCCAGGAACACATAAACAGCTACGTCCAGGTGATGATTGCCGTTGATGCCAGCGACGCATTGATGTGCCGATGCTTCTTGTAGACGGTGGACAGCAAGGTTGCAGACTGGGTGAATCACATTCCTGCTGGATCGATCCGGACATGGGATGAATTGGGGTTGCGGTTCCTAGAACATTTTGCAGGGAACTGCCGTCCCAAGAAGCACTTCACTCATTTGGCTTCAGTGCGGCAGAAGCATGGAGAATCCTTGAAGAATTTCTTAATCCGATGGAGGAAAGAGTCCAGGGAGGTTGAAGGAACCGATGATAAATCCAGATTGGCCATGTTCACGGCAGCATTGCAAGATGGTCTCCTTCATACTGATCTCACAACTCATCCTCCGGATACCTTTGAAGAAGCAATGGTCCGGGCCGGAAGGTATGTGACCCTGGAGGAAAGGAAGGGGGAGAAGAAAGAGAAGACTCCTAAAGAAGAGGAGAAGGCGGGAGGTAAGAAGCCTTTTAAGAACAAGAAGCAAGGTTTCCTGGATGGCCCAAAGGGAACAAACCCTGGGACCTCGGAGAAGCACAAGTCTGCCAATCCAGTCTTTACATTGCCGGTGGCTGAGGTCATGGCCCATGCTGCACAGCAGGACTCATGACTTATCCAACCTATTCCCAGAAGGTCTGTAATGTGGAGGACACTGGAAAATGGTGTGCTTACCACCGCAAGCATGATCACAACACAGAGGATTGCTATACTCTGAAGAATGAAATGGCGAGGCTAATCCGCCGGGGCCATCTGAAGAAGTTTGTACAAGATGGTAATGCGGGAGATTTCAGGAACGCTCAGAATGGGAAGCGGAGAGATAAGGAGGTGGCCCAGGCTGAGGCCTGGGAAAAACGCCACATCGGGCTGGAGGATGAAGAGGAGGACTCTGAGCCCGCTCCACACCGCCAGAAGAGACATCACGGGTGTTACTTCATCATTGGAGGGAATACTGGCGGAGACTCAGCCACGAGCCGGAAGAAGTGGGCCAACGCGGCGATGGTCAATAAGGTGCTGGCCCCGGAAGGTAAGAAGCTGAAAGCTGAGCCAATTGTATTTTCCAATGCTGATTTGCTAGAAACAGGGGTCCCCCATAGGGACGCCCTGGTGATCACGATTGATATAATGGACTTACTGATCCACAAAACTCTCGTGGATACGGGAAGTTCTGTTAATATCATGTATATGGATACTTACAAGGCTCTTGGTTTGACAAGAGATGAGTTATCACCCATTAAGACTCCGCTGACCGGGTTCACAGGCGACTCTATTGAACCGGAGGGGGTAATAACTCTCCCGGTCAAAATAGGGGATACTAAGGCCACCCGGAAGTTGGATATGGAGTTCGTTGTAGTGGGGATAATCTCCAATACCAACATCATCCTAGGCAGACCCGGATTAGAAGATTTGGAGTGTGTCATCTCACCTCGTCACCTATGCATACAGTTCCCAACCCCCCATGGAGTTGGAATTGCCAGGGGATCCCAGAGATTGTCCCGGGCGTGGTATTTGAAGGCAACTAAACAGCCTATCAAGTACGACACCCAAGTGGGGGAAGTAACCGCACAGCTCCTAAGGGCCGAGGAGAGACGTCCCAGAGTAGAAGTTGCAGGCGACATTGAGGAGGTTGAGCTGGAGCCGGGCACGCCGGGAAGGTTGGTCAAAATTGGAAAGGGCCTGGGGGCTGAACTCAGGTCGCGGGTGATCTCTGTTCTTAGAAGGTTCAAAAAAGTCTTTGCATTGAGTCCAGCTGATATGCCAGGGCTAGATCACAAGATCGCTGTAACGCCCTACAAACCGGCTTAGTTTAAATAAATAAATATTATTTATTTATTGAGACTCATTATTTTAAATTGAGATTTTGATCTCTACAAATGGCTTTCAAAAGTTAATGTGTGTTAAATATAAAAAGATGTTTTAATAACGGACCTCTCAACATTAAATAAATAAATTAATTAATGATTGGGGTGGACCCATAAGTTTGAAAATAAAGTTCTTAGAAAAATTATTTGAACATGTCATTAAGTTCATTTTGACTGTCTGATTCCGGAAACACAAACGGATCTCAATTCGGACCCGTTCGGGGGAAAAAGCGTGTACCGTTCAGGTCAGATTTTTACTCAACGGAGTNATTAACCTCCTCATTATTCCTTCATTATTCTTTTCAATATAAACCCCCCCACTACATTCATGTTCCTCATCAATTTGTAACCCCCACCATCAAGTCCCATCATCACCCACTCTCTCTTCCCCTTTCCCCTGTTCGGCTAAGGCAGCAAGCAGCCCAAGAGGTCTCCGACGAAGCTTCGGTGGGTACACGTTTGAGGGAGAAGAAGAGGAAGAAGAGCTAGGCCGTTCATGTGAAGCGTGATCGTCATTCCTCATCATCTTCGTAGTTTCAACGCATCATTAGAGGTGAGTAGTTGTCCCCTCTAATTTTAGAACATCAAGTTATAATCTATGTTGTTATATTCATAGGAGTATCGTACGCAACCTACGTAGAATCTATGCATGATCGTAGGTTAGCCATTCAAAAGTCACTACGTGAAAATCGTATATATTGGCCTAGGAATCACTAGGAATATATTCATAAATGTTTACATTATTGTTCTAAAAAGAATCAAGGTGTTAAGTTTGCAAAACGGATCAAAACAGAGCCAAAGACAGAAAACTGTCATCGGGACGGTCGACCGCCGCCACAGACGGTGGACCGTTTCCCTCAGCCATCCCGACGGTCAACACCGTGACGGTCGACCGCCGGCCTTGACGGAAGACCACGGTGGACCGTTTGTGACCCAGACCCCAGACCGTAGCCCACGGTCGACCGCCGGTAGGGAACGGTCGACCGTTTCGCGGGCAGAATTTCTGACAGTTTGTAGAACGAGCCCCGTTGACCATTTTGACTCAAAACCTGATTGTGTGTTTGCATTAAATGTTAATCTTCAGCATGTATGTTAATTATATGATATACTATTGGCATCAAGCATTCATCATGTCCGATCTGAACACATGTATTCATCATGTTCATCCTAGACGCATGTCTTAGGTTTTCATCATGTGCATACCGTTGTAGGGAGGACTTTGTGTGCCTACTACAGCGGGCCCGTCCAGGAACCCTCGGGATCCAACGGGTTTTCATCAAATGGGCTTTGTGTACGTACATGGTAGCTAGGCTACGGCTACCACCCGGTTTTTGCTAGTTCACTTGCGACGTATGTCGAGCCCGGGCCATTACCGGAGTGCAGGTGTGATCCTGTCAAGTGAAACTAAGTCAGGGGTGTCCCTGATAGCATAAGTCATGCATCAAATCATATAGTCATCATGTATGTTCCATGTCACGTCAACATTCAGTGTGGTTGTCATCATCATTTATGTTCCCCATCATGTTCATATTCAATGTGGTAGTACATCATTTTGTTATACGTAATGGTATTCCAACAGGTGTAATTAACCAGTTAGTAACATGTGGTTTACCGTACGTTAAGTATAGGTATTAATATGTGTATAGCCATATGGGTTATCACTTAATGTTCTTTTGTTAGATTCACTCCTCAGCTTTTGCTGAGCGTGTAGTTGTTTTTGCTACCCGCAGGTAGACATGACGGTGCGGGTGCCAACCCTGGAGGACAGTGATGGTGGGAAGATGGGCGGCGCATGGACAAGTTCAATAATTGAATACATTTAATTAATTAATCATTTGGGCATGAACCCACCATTTGTCGTTTTACTCATTTATTTACTTCCGCTTTTACTCTGCATTTATATCACTCACGTTTTGGATAATTATCCTAACATTTACTACACCAATTAAACACAAACGTTTTCATAATAAATAGTCATTAATATTCCATCAATCAAATGTAACCGTTTTCACATTAAATAATCACTAATGTTTTTGTAACGGACGGTTCTCGGACCGCCCATGTAACCCTACCGGTCCGTTGGGTCGCGGGTGAACCGGGTCCACGGAAGGCGGGTGTTACAATCGCAGTCCATCGGCTTAATGTACTGCAGGATGCTAAACCGGTGAAGCAGAAGTGGAGGCATTTGTCACAGGAAAGGAGAGATTTCGTGAAGAAGGAGGTAGCAACCTTGCAGAGCATTGGACATATCCGGGAGGTGCACTACCCGGATTGGTTGGCGAATGTAGTTTTGGCGCCTAAGCCTCCTTCGTGGAGAATGTGCGTCGACTACACGGATTTGAAAAAGGCATGCCAAATGGATCCGTTCCCGCTCCCCAACATTGACCAGATGGTGGATGAGACGGCTAGATCAGAGTTAATGAGCTTCATGGATGCTTTCAGTGGCTACCATCAGATTCGGATGCACCCGGCCAATGTTGAGAAGACCAGTTTTATGACCCCGGAGGGGCTATACTGTTACTTGGTGATGGCATTTGGATTGAGAAACTCCGGCGCAACATACACCCGGATGGTTTCACAGGTGTTTAGAGCCGTCTTAGGGCGAACCATGGAAGCATATGTTGATGACATGATTGTCAAGTCCAAAGAGGCCCGAGACCATGTCCGGGACCTTGAGGAGGTCTTTGAAATCATGATGAAGGTAAATTTGAGATTGAATCCAAAGAAATGCACTTTTGCTATTCAGGGTGGAAAATTCCTCGGGCACATGGTTAGCCGGAGAGGGATTGAAGCAAACCCGGAAAAGGTTAGGGCCATCATGGAGATGGAACCACCGAAGACGGCAAAGGAAGTCCAGCGGCTGACAGGGAGATTGGCGGCTTTGAATTATTTCCTTTCAAAGCTGGCAGAGAAGGCGCACCCATTCTTTACCGTAATCAAGAAGAGGGAGACCTTCGAATGGACGCAAGAATGTCAAGAAGCATTTGAAGAATTGAAAAGATATTTGGCAAGTCCTCCGGTTTTATCCAAGCCGGAACCTGGAGATGTCCTGATTTTATACTTAGCAATTGCAGATTGTGCTATCAGTGCTGTAATTGTGAGGAAAGAGAATGGGGCCCAACATCCGATCTACTACGTCAGCAAGACCTTGAGAGACGCGGAGTTAAGGTATTCCCGTCCGGAAAAGGCCATGCTAGCGGTTTTCTGGACGGCGAAGAGATTAAATCCGTACTTTCAGGCTCACCGGATTGTGGTGCTCACCAATGAGCCTTTGGCGTCACTTACCCGGAGTCCAGCGGCATCAGCCCGGATGACCAAGTGGGTGGTCTTCATCAGTCAGTACAGTGTGGAGTTCAGGCCACGTCCATCAATCAAAGAGCAGGCACTTGCCGACTTTCAGGTTGAGTGTACTGCCAGGGAGATGACAAGAGCACAGGCCGAAACCCGGGTAGAAGACGACTGGTGGGTGATGAGCATCGATGTATCTTCTGGGTCTCGATCCTGCGGAGCAGGTATTGTTTTGGTTACTCCGGAAAATTTCCGGATATATTACGCTATCAGATTTATGTTCCGCGCATCCAACAATGAAGCTGAATATGAGCCCCTGATCAACGGATTGAAGATTCTTGGCAAGTTGGGAGTGTCCAAGGTTCAAGTATATAGCGAATCCGGATTGGTGGTAGGACAGATCACTGGGGAGTTTGAAGCAAAGGAAGAAAGGATGAAGAGGTATCGAGACCTGTCCTTGGAAATGTTGGGAAGGTTCGAGTTTAAGCTTGAACACATACCCCGGGCGCAAAACGCGGAAGCTGATGTTCTGTCCAAGCTCAGCGCAGAATCGCTAGAATATATAAGCAAATTAGCAACGGTCGAGGAACTGGAAACCCCGAGTCTTAACAGGGATGAATTGCTTTGGGTGTTAGCTGATCCCCCAGAGTGGTTGGAAAGGCTTGCCAGATACATTGAGGACGGTGTAGCCCCGAAGGACCCCCAAGAAGCTCGTTAGCTGCGAATGAGGGCACCCACCTACAAGGTACAGAATTGAATCCTCTATAAGCGATCTTACAATGGTGTTTTACTCCGTTGCCTCAGGGCAGCAGAGGCGAAGGCACTAATGGAAGAGATACACGAAGGAGTATGTGCTGCACATCAGGGTCCATACTCTATCTCCAGAAGGGCGATTATCCAGGGATATTTCTGGTCAACAATGAGGAAGGATTGCGAGGAGTATGTGCGCAAGTGCCCAACCTGTCAACAATTTCAGAACATGCCCGGGAGGCCAGCCACGAACTACACGCCCATCAGCTCTGTGATTCCCTTCTCAAGGTGAAGGATCGATATTGTGGGTTCCCTGCCAAAAGGGGTTGGACAGGCAAGATGGATTGTGGTGGCCATAGACTATTTCACCAAGTGGGTGGAGGCTGAGCCACTTGCTAGGATAACTGGGAGGCAGATGATCGACTTCGTGGAAACCAATATACTTTGTAGGTTCGGGGTCCCGAAGCAGATCATATCCGACAAAGGAACCCAGTTTGAGGAAGCAGGATTCCAAAACTTCCTCAAAACTTGGGGAATTCAGCATACAAAGGTTTCTGTGGCCTACCCTCAAGCTAATGGGCAGGTGGAGAACGTCAACAGAACAATCATAAGTGGAATAAAAAAGAAGCTACTTTCAGAAGGAAGCAAATGGGTGGATGAACTACCCAGAATCCTGTGGACGTACAGAACAACTCCAATGAGGGCTACAGGTGACACTCCCTTTGGCTTAGCCTATGGTTTCGAAGCCCGGGCTCCAGCTGAGACGGTGATCCCTACCAGGAGAGAAATGGAATATGACCCGGAAGTAAATGAACAGAATTAGGCCATAGAGCTGAACTTCATAGAAGAACAAAGAGATGAAGCGCGAATCCGGGCAGAGAATTATCGTCGCCAGGTGAAGTCTTACTTTGACAGTAAGGTGAAACCGAGGGCGTTCCAGGTGGGGGATTACGTCCTGAGGAAGCGAGAGAAGAGTCAACCAACTAAGGGTGGGAAGCTGGCTAAGAAATATGAAGGACCTTATATCATCAAGGCTATCGTTCGCCCAGGTACCTACAAGTTGGTGACTCCAAAGGGAAAAAAATTTGATAGGACGTGGAATGTAGAGCACTTGGTCAAATTTTATCAATAAAATTGTTTTGTAAAGCACTCTATTTTTGGATTTCAGATATTTGTTTCAATACAATTTTCTTTCCTCTAAAGCCAAGTGTCTTTACAATTTCATTATTCTGTAAATTTCTTTAAAAAAAGGGGAAAACACCACCGGGAAAATTAGACCCACATTACAGGGAGGTAGATAAGTTTATGCCACCTGCTAAAAATAGGGGAGGTAGATAAGTTTATGCCCCCCTGGAGGTAGATAAGTTTATGCCTCCGTCAAATATGAAGGAAGGGTTGGGATTGGACTTTGAGGGCCTTTACAATCCGGAATTCAGTAAGAACAGTAAACAGACTTCGAGGGCTGAAGCTTAGTATTCCACCAGCACAGATCAACCGAGCGAACAAACTTTGAGGGTTGGAGCTCAACCGATCCAAGGTAGATAAGATTATTCCTTAACCCGGAGGAAAGGAGGTCAGGGACAGATGAGGTAAGCTCCCAAGGCACGTCTAACCCCCGGGAGATGAGATTTTGTATAGAGGATGAGATATGTTTGTACTTGCATTAGATAAAGTGCAAAGAAATAAACATAAAGGACTACATTGATGGGCCAAAATTTACACTTTTGGTTCACAATAATGGTTCCTAATGAGATGAAAGAAATCAGAAAATAGGGAAGTCATCGATTGCTAATTCGAAGGTTGTGTCTTTGAATTACAACGATAATTCCTAGTCTTAAATTAAAGGACATTCCTTAGTATGGGACGGAGGAAAAACTCCTGGACCAAACAAGCGAATGCCTCTTAAAATAAAACAAGAAAAAGGGAATTTCTTTGCAGGGGGCTAGGCACTGAAGGAGGGCCTATTGCATCCATGCAGTCAACAAGAAGGATGTGGGGGCCCCTTCCATGGGCTCCTTCTCTTCGACGAAGGGCACGCGGTGGAATCAGCAGCTTCCTCTATGTCATAGTCTTCCCACGTCCCTAGACGGGGAGCTGGTGCTCCCAATGAAGAACCATCATTGGGAGGCTTCAGCAAGTTTGGAGGAGCTGTCCGGCTTTCACGTGAAGGTTCCACCTCAACAATCAGAAAAGAATGTCCAAGTTTAGCCCTGCGCATCCTCTGGTACAAGGCGAAGTCTTGGAGGGTCATAGAGTCCCAATCTATCCTCCCGGATGGAAGCCTGGGCGGGCTAGGAGGTGATGGCGCAGGAAGACGAGGTGCTGGATAAAGCCTTGAGAACTCGCCAGGACTCAACCCGGCCATGTCGTTGAATTGAGCCGGAGAGGCAGGGAAATCGTCATCCGAAGAAGAAGATGTCCTAGAAAGAGTTAAGTCGATGAAGACTTTACTCAGAGATTTACTTGCCATGGCGAAGAAATCAGAAAGGGATGAACCAGCAGCAAACCATCCTTTCCCATTTATTGTGAAAGGGGAAGGGATGGTTGGGGAGTAATAAATATGGTGAAAAGATGCGGAAGACTAGGCGATTGGCAAATGAAGCGGTCGAAGATTTCCAATGTTTGACCAGGGGTTTCGCCACTTAAGTGCATGGGCACGTTGAGTGGGCCCATCTACGCTTTGGGTAAGATGTCAACTTTGGAAGGTAAGGAGTTAGACAGATATAGACTCCTACTTCATGCAGATGACGACATGCACAAAATAATTATATTAAATGACGGGAGATAAGGGTTTCTTCCATTAAATAGCTCAAATGGAAAGTTACATTCTTTTGGGTTACAGTAATGGGCCTTATCCCTGATCTAACAATAAAACATTTAAGAGACGGGAGATAAAGATTTTCATTAAATAACTCAAACAGAAGATTACATTCTTTTGGTTTACAGTAATGAACTTTGTCCCTGATCTACTTCTATCCTACTACTAGAAAAATCTGAAGGTTGGGCGAGTCGGCACTTCAGGGATCTAAGGGGAGTGCATTCGCTGACCTTGCTACCATGCCTGAGCCAGAAAAGGACCCCGGAGCGGAGAGGTGTGGAGATAGCCCACCGTCCCTCTTGATGACATTCAAAAGAATGCGAAATGGTACAACCGTGTTGGGATTGAAAAGCATTCCCCCCGTGGACACCATCCAGCCACCCTCATGAAGAACGGGCAAGAAGGATGTGGAGGCATGAGGGAAGGACTTACGGCTTTTTTCCGCCTATACAGAAGGTGGAGGCGGATCCGGGAAGGTTCCGTCCTTTTCCCTACGTATAAACGGATGCCTATTTCCCCCCATGTCGTAGTCCCCCCACTCCTCAGACCTACGTCCATACAACTGCTGAGGGGAGGGAGAACCTTGAGAGGAAGGCCTTGCACCAGAGACCAACCGGGAAGTTCCTGAGTGAGAATTGCGTCTCTTCTGCGGACAGGACGTCCCAGGACGGCAAGAAGAGACTTCCGTCCCAGCACAGACAGGGGGTACGCCGGAATCTGGGAGAATTCCCCTTGGTCCTTGTTGGGGAGGGTAGAGATGATTCTCCTCCCGGGGCAGGGGAGAAGTCACCGATTATTCAGAGGCAAGAGAAGGCCCAGAAGAGAGTTCAGGTGTTGGGGCTCCAAGTGAGGGAAATGCCAAGGAAGAAGAATCAGAAGAAGAATCGGATATAGTAAGATCATTAAAGACAACTCTGTTGGCGTTATTAGCCATGTTGAGAGTCTGATTGTGATGGTGGAGGGGTTCAGCCTAGCCCCTTAAATAGGCGAGTAATCCTAAAGGGGAAGTGCAAGGGACGCGGAGTCAAAGCACATATCCGATTGGGGAAGCAGTTGCGGATTCCCGAGGAAAGCTAGGGTTGCATCGTTTCACCATTAGGCTAAGGTGAATTAGGCCCGGCGTAATTAAGGTGGGCCATTCGCTTAGCTCGGTAAAAAAAACGCAGTACCTTATAAGCATGGTTAAGCCCAAAGCTTAAGTGGATAAAATTCTGCTAAGTCCTGAGAAGATAAGAATCCCAAAAGGAGAATAGTTAGCCCAAAGGAAGGAGTCTACAGAAACATGGATATGAAGGAGAAATTGGCAAAAGACAAAATGTTACAAGCGTCATCAAGTTGCTAACATTTAAATGTTACAAAGTAAAATACGACAGCTGTGGAAGAAAAGGAAAGTCAAGGCCCCAGGTCAGTACAAGAATCTGGGGGAGAAAGAGGAAGAGGCAGGCCATAGTTAGAGATGAAGTCATCTAAGGATCGGTGTTCCGGGAGACCGCTCTGGACCGCCTCATAGATGCAGTGTTGCATATCAAACTTCCCTTCTTCGTAAAGGGCCTCGGCGCGGGTGGTCAGGGCAGCCACCTCCCCTTGATGAGCAGCTATTGTCTTCTCCAGTTCACCCATCCTTGACCGGAGCTCGCTGGCAGTCTGTCTCTCTTTCTCCAACTTCCCGAGGGTAAGCCATTTTGCCTCTATGTGTTTTATCACGAGGTCGTTAAGATGGGGACCCTCTTGCTTGGCGTCGTGGAGGGAATTCTCCAGCTCAGAGATCCGGGACTCCCTCTCAACCAGCTCAGCTTTTAGACTCCCTACTTTGTCTTCTGAAGCTGAGGCCTTTGACTCCAGGAGGGAGATTTGTGCCAGGAGTCTGTCGAACTGCGTCTCCAAATCCTGGGTCCCCCTTTGGTAGATGGCAATTTGCTCTTGCAGGACCTTGACCCGGGACCTTTCAGTCACTAGTTCCGCCGAGCCATCTACCTTGAGCTTGGCGTTCTATTCTTGAAGGGCCTGGACTTGTTACTCTAGGGAGTCAACTTTCTGCTGCAGGGCCCTAGCGGCCAACTCCTTTTCCTTCAGAACCACCACGGCCCTATAATTCCCCCATGCTCCACCCAGGTATTCCTCAGTCAGGGTGAGGAGCGATTGTTGGGCCTGGAAGGGAGAAGGAGATGTCAGGAGAAGAGATAAGTAAAAGAGGAATAAAGAGAGACTCTTGAAAGAGAAAAGAGTACCTGCTCCATGGAGTGCAAAGCATTGAGGGCAAGCAGATCAGGGCGAGCCTGGGGGGTTATGGGCTCCTGCACTGATTCCTTCATCTTCCCCAGGTTTGCCTGGAGGCCTGCATGGAGTTCAAACCGTGGGAAAAACCTGCCCAACCCTCTTTGAAAGCAGGGTAGGTTTGCGGCGTGAACTTGCACCACATGGGGAGATTGAAGGCTGGGGACGTGATGGCGGGATGCTTGTAACACCCGCCTTCCGTGGACCCGGTTCACCATAACTTATGTGCCATCATGAGCAACGTATACATGTTGATCCCTCACGAGTGGGTCCAACTACTCATCCTCTTCTTCGTCATCCACCTCATTTTCATTATGCTCACTCTCACCGTCAAAAGATTGCAAATTTGACTCGGGTACAAATGTATGCGATCCTACAATTATCAATACAAACATCATACATTATATATGAATGATTCAACATGAATAATTGGGAAGTTAAATAACCTTACCAGCGGTGCTAGCACCAGAATGCAAAGGTGTATGTGACGTGGTCGGAGGTGATCCTGATGCATCAATCTCAGGGGTGGACGTATTAGTCAAGGGGTTGCTACAACCTGCTTCGGCATCGTCTCTGGATCGAGTTATGAAACTCTGTCGTAGAAGTCTCAAGCTATCCCTCGCCAGACTAACAAAAGATGGCATCTTTGAGCCTTTTTGCTTCTTACCCTTACCTTTATCTGTCATCTGCACATACAAAACACGTTAATTATAGGATATGTTCTATAATGGTTGCATTGCTTCCAAACTTTAAATTCTTACATGACTTACACGGACAACGCATGTTATTCTTAGACCGATCAGCATTGGGATTCGAGGAACAAATATCCACAAACTTCATGACATTGTCAACCCATTCTTTACTAACTACACCTTCGGATTCAAATTTATTATACATCCATTCACGATCACCAAATCCAGACATTGTCGTAAAAAATCAACACTGTTTAATAAAAAAGAATCACAAATTGAACAATACAAGTAACATATCAATAGTTCAAATTAATTCTCAACTTAAAAAGTACAAAAAAATACAACTTACGTTAAAAAATACAACTTTTTTTTATAAGTTAAGAACTTTTTATTAACAAAAATTTAAAAAAAAATCCTAGAACCATAACAAAAAAAATTTCCTAAATCATATAAAAAAATTCTTAGAATCAAATCAAAATTTCGTATGATAACAATATATGACTTAAAAACGCATATAAAAAAGCATATGATAAATTTCCTAGAATAAATTTAATCCACTTTTAATATCAAATTTAAAAAAAATAGCAAAAATAATACAAACTTTAAACACAATACTTTTTTTAATAATTTACAGTAAATCAAATCATATTATCATACAATCACATGAAAAAAGTGTCAAATAAATTTTTTAATTCAATTGAGGGAAACAATTAGGGTTTTACCTTGAGTCCGTGGACGTCGAACGGCAGTTGGGTGGGTGGAGGACCGGCGGACGGCGGACGGCGGACGATGTTCAATTCGGCGGCAACGATTTGAAGCTCGGCGGTGGAGACGATGTTCGGAAACTTGTGCGTTGCGTCGAAATCAGGCGTCTGGTTTAGAGACGAAGTTAGCCTGACCGAGCAAGGGATAAGGTTATATTTTAAACTTGCGACGGATATTATCCCGTCGTAGATTCCGTCGCAGGAAATGAATTAAAAAGTTGACGGTCAACCATTTACGACCGAATGCATGTACCGTCGCAGATTTGCGACGGAATATACGCGTCCGTCGCAAATTTTACCAAATTTGATAATATCTTATTTTCGTCGCAAAAATCCGTCGCAATTTGTGACGGATTCCATCCGTCACAGAAATTCCGTAGCAATTTGAATTAAATCTTGTAGTGTGATGCATGATACCCCTGACTTAGTCTCACTTGAGAGGATCACCCTTGCATTCCGGTAATGGGCCGGGCTCGACGAAAACGTCGCAAGTGAACTAGCAAAACTGGGTGGTAGCCGTAGCCTGCCATGTAAGTACACAAAGCCCACCTGATGAAAACACGTTGGATCCCAAAGGTTCATGGACGGGCCCACTGTAGTAGGCGCACGAAAGCCTGACCTCCCTACAGCGGTATGCACATGATGATAAACCTAGGACATGCGTCTAAGATGAACATGATGAAATGAATGCATTGATTGAAGAAGGAAGTTAAATTCAACGCATACATATGTGTTTGATTACAATTTGTTCAACATGATGGCCTTAGGTTCAGAACTGGCTGATAATTGATTGTCTACTGCTGATAATCGATTATTATGTTGTGCAGCTTCTGTTCCCAAAGTCCTGCAGACTGTGATAGTCGATTGTCACCCTATGACAATCGATTGTCCAGTTGGTTTTTTCGGGTAGTCCTAAGTTCAGAGAGCCCTGATAATCAATTATTGCCTATGTGGTAATCGATTATCAGTGAAGCCAAATCAGACCCAAGAATCTGCAGGGCCTGATAGTCGATTATCACATATGTGATAATCGATTATCACGCTGTGCTGAATCAACAAAGGAGTCCAGCGTGGCCTGATAGTCGATTGTTCTATTCTGTAACTCGATTATCAAGGCACGCTGACTTCCATTAAATCTGTTTGTTTGTCATGAAAACGTTGGAAGTTTTAGAAACGAATGTTTACATTTCCATGCTAAGAAATCGATGAACTTACAAGGTTTCAAAACATTTACATTAACGAGTACATAACTTGATAACGTGGGCACACGTATGTTGGATGGTTAACCTACAAACATGCATAGATTCTACGTAGGTTGCGTACGATATTCCTATGAATATAACGACATAGATTATAACTAAATGTTCTAGAATTAGAGGGACAACTACTCACCTCTAAATGAAGGGATTGACGGAATGATGGAACGAGATGAACGAACGGTTGTCAACGTTGAACAACGAACGAATGAATGAACGACTCCTCGCGTAGCCCTCCTTCTCTTCTACCTCCTCGTCTTCTCACCGGAAGACTCCTCGCCTAGCTGCCGCTGTGATTGGACGAACACCAATAGAGAGAGAGAGTTGTGATGTTGAATGGGAGTTACAAGTTGGTGAAGGAGGTGAATGGAGGAGGGAGCTTTATAATCATGTGAAATTATGGGGATTTATGGGGGCATAATGAAGGAATAATGATGGGGGTTATGGAAATGAAGAGTGTAGTGGCGTGTGGTTTTGAGGGAGGTCCACTCCGTTGTGTAAAATCTGACCTGAACGGTACGCGGTTTTTCCCCCGAATGGGTCCGAATTGAAAACCGATTGCGTTTCCGAAATTAGACAATCAAAACGAATTTAATGACATGTTCAAATAATTTTTCTAAGAACTTTATTTCCAAACTTCCGGGTCCACCCCAATCATTAATTAATTTAATTAATTAATGTGGAGAGGTCCGTTATTAAAACATCTTTTACAAATAAAATACATTAGCTTTGGAAAAACCTTTTAAAGAGATCGAAATCTCAATATTTATTATTAAAAATAATGAGTCTCAATAAATAAATAATATTTATTTATTTAAAATATTGGCTAACTATTAGGCCGGTTTGTAGGGCGTTACAATTATCCCCCCCTTAAAGGAATTTTGTCCCCGAAATTCTCTCCAAGTCGCACCTCACATGTTGAGGGAGATAGTGTGTTACCCAAAACTTTGTTTTGTGAAGCATACGAGGGAATAATGAATTAAAGACCAATTGACGGATTTCATTGAAGGAACGTATTGGGTTTAGTTAAGTGGGACGAAATGTTGCATTGATTACAGCTTCGACTATGTCATCAGCTAGCAGGCAACCCACTCCCACTCGTCTAGTCGGGCTGAGTCCACTAGGGGATTATCCACACCTGCGCCGCAGATACTGTTAGCAGAATCCACGCTGAACGTTTCCTCTGGATCATCTCTTTCCCATGCTGCCTTCCGGCGCTTCCAGATTCTTAACATTGCTATCCAAGCCTTGCGGTGTGCACGTTGATAGCGCTCTTTTGAATCGTAACTTTTCCTCTTGTTCTTTTGTCTCTTACCGAGCACGAAGGTTCGACTAGAGTCAACGCTTGAGACGCTTTCGGTACTCATGGTACTCATCTAACAATCGTAGAGTATCAAAATGGGAACAAGTGAGCGCATAACTCAATTAGTTTGACGCTTCATTGTGCGCTCACGTGCTCAGGCACTCCTATGTGATCTACCTATCCGACATTGCCTACTGCTTGGCTCATTTTCTATGAGAAGCTTACATCATAGCTAATTACAATACGACATACATGTGAATAAAACAACGGTGTACCTTTCCCTATGAGCGATGTGATGGGAGATGCGGCTGTGGACTTTTTTAAAATACCCTTTGACCAAGATGACAAAATATGTTTTTTTTTTATTTTCACAAAATCGAACCTGTCTCTGATACCAAATTGTAACACCCGCCTTCCGTGGACCCGGTTCACCCGCGACCCAACGGACCGGTAGGGTTACATGGGCGGTCCGAGAACCGTCCGTAGAGGAAAACGCATTAATGTCCATTTATTGTGAAAATGGCTACCACCCAGTTTTGCTAGTTCACTTGCGATGTTTTCGTCGAGCCCAGCCCATTACCGGAGTGCAGGGGTGATCCTGTCAAGTGAGACTAAGTCAGGGGTATCATGCATCAGGTCATATCGTCATCATGTATGTTCATGTCACGTCAACATTCAAGGTGGTTGTCATCACCATGTATGTTCCCCATCATGTCCATATTCAATGTGGTAGTATATCATTTTGTTAGGTGTAACAATATCCCATCAAGTACAAATTAATTTGTTAGTAAACATGTGTTTTTTCGTACGTTAAGTACAGGTATTAATATGTGTATGACCATATGGGTTATCACTTTATGTTCTTTTGTTAGATTCACTCCTCAGCTTTTGCTGAGCATGTAGTTGTTTTTGCTACACGCAGGTAGACATGACGGTACAGGTGCTGACCCTGGAGGACAGTGATGATGGGAAGATGGGCGGCGCGTGGACGAGTTTAATAATTATAATCATTAGAATTAATTAATCATGTGGGCATGAACCCATCATATATCGTTTCACTTATTTTGGACTCACATATTTACTGCCGCTTTTACTCTACATTTAAATCACACACGTTTTGGGATTAACTCCCTAGCATTTATTCCACTAATTAAACACAACCATTTTCACAATAAATGGACATTAATGCGTTTTCCTCTACGGACGGTTCTCGGACCGCCCATGTAACCCTACCGGTCCGTTGGGTCGCGGGTGAACCGGGTCCACGGAAGGCGGGTGTTACAATTTCACCCCAATCATTAATTAATTTAATTAATTAATGTGGAGAGGTCCGTTATTAAAACATCTTTTACAATTAAAATACATTAGCTTTGGAAAAACCTTTTAAAGAGATCGAAATCTTAATATTTATTATTAAAAATAATGAGTCTCAATAAATAAATAATATTTATTTATTTAAAATATTGGCTAACTGTTAGGCCGGTTTGTAGGGCGTTACAATGCTGCTTTTCCGGTTCTTGCTGTCTCTCAGTCTCTCTCTCCGTCTCTGGGGGAGCTTCCGTATCCTTCTGCCCTCCAATTTCTTTCTGCTTCGAAGAGGAAGCTTCCAGTCCTTCCTCCACTCCAACCTCCTTCTCTGTCGCAGGGGAAGCCTCCGGTTCTTTCTGCCTATCAGCTTCTTTCTCTACCCCTTCGGGAATGGTTGCGGCTGGTGGGGAGGTATTGTTCACCTCAGGCTGAGGCTGTCTTGCAGGTCTCCTGAGCGCTGACTAGTCCAGAAGTTCATCTCCCTCACGATCTAAGCTATCCGGGTTGGGTAACTCTAAATCTCCGGATGCGGCAGCAGGGGTGGTACTTTGGGTACCAGAAGATGCAGTCAGGGGGCTGGGCGAAGCGGGAATACCATCACCCTTATTCTTCTTGGGAAGGAAATCATCGTCAGTGACTCCTTCCCGCGACCGTTTCTTGGACGGGGTGGGCTTCCTTAGTCCGGGAATGGCGGAGATGGGAACAGCTTCTAGGGCAGTAGCCGGCTTGCGAATAGCCAAGGCAGTGGAGTTACCTTGAGCCTGGCTCCCAGAGGAACTCCCGGTTGGATTGGGTTCCACAACGGGAGGAGCCTCTGACCTTTCAGGGGAAGACACCCCTTCAAACGGAACGGGGTCAGGACCTAGAGGGTAGTAAAAATCTGCCTTCTTGTATAACCTGGCGTCTTGAAGGGAGTGATGTGGAATCAAACCCACTTCCTCTCTCAAGGCGTTGTATGCAGCCTCCGCCAGGGGTACTGCAACGAACTTTGTCCGAGAAATAGAACTACGGTGAACAACACCCGGCAGATCTAGGGGGCTATGAACCGGGAACTCAATGACGAAGTAGTAGTGGGACCATTTGTCGTGTTTAAACTCAACCCTCTCAAAAATTGGAGCTTGGGGATGAGCAAACAAGCTGTAATAGGGAAAAGGCCCACCAATACTGAAAAGGATGAGGAATTCGTCCAGTGTTGGGGTTTTGTCCAGGGCACAACACCGCAAGATATAGGACGCGACATATTTGTGCGCATTGGCGGTCAACTGGCCAGGAGCAAATCCAAAATGGCGGAAGATGTCGCGGAGCAGACCATGGAGGGGTAATCTGAACCCATTCTCCACAAAGTGATAGTGCATGACCATATACTTCTGAGGGTTTGGGTTGTGGGATAAACTAATTCCTCCGACAGCGTTGGGATGGTGGACCCGGAAACCTTTGCCCAGAAGTCTGGCCATTTCTCAAAGTTCACCCTCTTTGATGATAGAGGGTTCGTGGGTCCAGGCAGAAGGGGCCATTTCGGAGAAAGAAACGAGGATTTGGGACAATTGCAGTCGAAGTTCGGGTCGGGTCAAGATTCGGCAGCGAAAGAGGGAGAAGACGAGTCCAGAGGGGGTTATATCCATTGTAAGGAGGGACCCAAGGCACTCGAGTGCGACGTTTCTAATCCGACACGTAAACCGGAGGCGGCTCATCATTAGTTTTCTAGCGACACGTCGCTAGAAAACTAGGGGGCTTGTGATGGATATCGGGTCTGATGGACCCGATTCTAGACCCAATAAAGGCCCACAATAGCACGAAATGGACAAGGCCAAGTGCCAGTGGCAGATTGAGCCCACTAAAATGCGTGTGGCAAATAAGGAAGGACGGCCCAATCATGGGCTAGATGAAGATGACCCAGTCCAAGGAAGGAATGGGACACGTGGCCCGCACCACCAGATTGTGGACGAGATGGGAAGAGAACGAGACCGGAAAAGAGGGAATCACAACCCCATGATCTCCATAATCCCTCCCATTATGTATAATTTTAATTACGATATTAGAAGTACTATAAAAGGGGAAAGAACCCGCCATTGTAAAGGGAGACAACTGAAACAATTTTACACATAATCAAAGAACATTATTACGAGATTATATCTTTCTGATTCATATTACGTTCTTGGTCCGCCATCTGATCGGGTTAATCCCATCAGGTACCTACGGTGCCTCGTTTATGAAAATGATGGTTCCTAGACCCCCTAACCCTCTCCCTAAACCCTCCACCCCAGCCCCACCCTTGCCCCCCACCCCATCCCCCTCCCACCCCCTCCCTACCATGGTAGTTCTGCCATGGTAGGGAGGGGGGTGGGGTGGGGGGCAGGGGTGGGGGTTTAGGGAGAGGGTTAGGGGGGTAGGAACCGTCATTTTCATAAACGGGCACCGTAGGTACTCCAAACAAACTGGTGTAAGCAAGTGGTGTATAAGTAACTGATATCATTTTAGACGCTCCCAAAATAAAAATACGGCCTAACATAATTTATTGTTGTTCCAGCCCAAGTATCATTGGTTTTTCCTAAAAAAAAAGCCTTACTAAACTAAATTTTGCCCATTTATAAAAAAACTTTCAAAAAATATTATCAATTTTATCTGATCTTTCAAAAAATAATCTTAGCTTCACTTTAGATATAATGCAGGTGTTATGAATATTTACAAACGATTTATTTAACATTTAAGTCATTTAAATGTGCGGGTGAAATTAATATGTGAAAAAACTAATTTCAGATATTTAATAGTTTTGTTTAAAAATTCAACAAAAAGGTCTTCATATTTCTCTTTAACATTAACCTTTTTATAGAAATATTTTTTAAAAAATTATTTTAGAAAAATATGATAATAAAAAATACAATAATATATTGTGGTGCATGTTATAGTATTTGTTATTTGAATTACTTAGAATTTTAATTTTTAAAAAAACAAAAAAGAGATTCTTTAAAAAAATAATTTGTTACAAACACATTAAAATTTTATAAAGATTTATTTTTTTAAAAAAAAGTTGGTAGATCACAAAAAAACACTTCAAAGTAACGAGGCTTGAGGATCGAGTTATAACTGGAAATAATGTAGGTGAAAAGATTACTACCTAGAATTTATTTAACACGGTCTGCTACAAGATTGCCTTTTAAGTTTCAGAGAAAACAATTTACTATTATGGTTTCATATGCAATGACCATAAACAAGAGTCAAGGACAATCTCTTTCTAAGGTTGTAGTGTTACCTAAAAAACGGTGTTTAGTCATAAACAATTGTATATTGTCATGTCCAGGGTTAGGAGACAAGTGTATGTTGCCATGTCCATGAAAACAATTGTATTTTGATATGCAATGATGGAGACATGGCAGCTGATGAGATCACTAATGTTATTTTTAAAGAAGTTTTTCATAATATTTAAAGTATTTTGCTTACAACATTTTTCGTATGTTAAAGTGGTACATTATACTCATCATATATATTACATTATGGGTATTACATTCTTCAAGTTATACTTTTTAAAATAAAAAATTAATCGTCTCATACAAAATTGTAAAATTAGTCGTTAATCATTTCTAGATATAGTGTATTATTATTGAATAAACATATCCCGTGTGATGGATATAACCCACTGGCCGGCAAGTTCACAAACGCCCGGGGGTACAAAATTCTAGCCCCGCCTGACGTCACCAACCCTGGGAGACTGGTTGGGTGGATGTCACAAGCGCCCGAGAGATCCGAATGCTTACCCCACATGATCTCACAAACCCCGGTAGACTGACCGGGTGGATGTCGGGGGGTCAGACATGTCAGATCGTGACTTCATTTGCATAAGGCTTAAAGTCTGACCAGGCTTGACCTCACCGTACCCGTTAATCTAACCGAGTGGATGTTAGGGGTCAGACCGGTAAGATCATGACTTGAAGACTGCCCGGGTGGATGGCTTGAAGACTGGTCGGGTTCAAGACTGCCCGGGTTGATGACTTGAAGACTCACCGGCTGGAAGAATAGTAACGTCGGGACGTGCTTGACGTGCTTGTTCTTTATTATAAATAGGACTAAAAGCCTAATTTGTGAGGCATACTTTAATTAATACGCACGGCTTGTAACATTTTAATCGGTCCCTACATTATTAATAACTACTCGGGTTACAGGTGTATCCACCTACAACCCTTTCGCTTTTCGTAACTTAGCATTACATTGGTTTTACACCATCAAATTGGCGCCGACCGTGGGACCTCTTTACAAAAAGAAACCATGACGAACAACAATATGGAATCCATCATCTCCCAAATTTCCACCTCGGTGGAGGGCGTTACCCTGATCTCGGGAGGAATCACATCATTACCTTCTCTTTTCTCCCCCATGATCACCACCTTTACTACTCAAACAACACCTAGTCAAGCCTTCCAAAACTTTGGACAATTTATGCCCATTTCCCAACAATCTGCATGATTTATTCTTTTCATCCCTGGGATGTATCTCCATGCTCTGGCTCAAAATACATCTATTCCCAACACGTTGGGGCATCCCCCGCCGTTTCAACCGGCTAGTACCACTCGGTCGGTCATCCCGACAAAACCACTCAGGGAGTTTGAAATGGCAGGTCCTTCTCGGTCCACGAAGAGCAGATCCCACAAACTCCCCACTCAGGTCACACGCGACGGGGACGTGCGCTCTATACGCAGCAGGGACGAAGACAGGGACATTCCTAGGAGCCAGAAAAAGATGCAGGGCAAAGCGGTCCAGCTAGAAGGTTCACGACGGTCAGCGTTCCAACGGCTGGGACACGAGGGGCGGAACCAGAACCGACCGGCCAAGGAGCGGTTAGGGGTGAAGGTTCCCCAGCCACGCGCATTCTATAGACTAGGAGGTGGTAGGCGACCCGGTCGGATCGGGCGCTCTGACCCTCTCTGTGATGAGCCCCAACACAGCAGGGTGCCTAGAGTGGAGGGCCAGGCGGAAAGCCAGCCTAGTATGGCGATGCGCACGGATGCTGAACCACCCATCAACTAGGTGGACGGGGCAGAAGAATGTTTGGAGAGGCTCTTGAAGAGGGTTCGTAGGGAGGAAAAGAAGAAAGTGGTGTTGAACAACTGTTTTATCATCCACTAAGACCGGATATTACCGTGCCAATGTTCAATAAAGTTGATCTTTTTTCTGAAAAGACTATTCGCAAGGGAAGGTTGCAGACCCATTTGCGCGGTCACTGTTCAATCGAATTCAGCATCACAAAACCACCCGGGTGGAACACCATACTTTTTCAGAAAAGATGGTAAGACTGGTCGGGGAAGGTTGCAAACCTGTCTGCCTGGTCAATGTTCAATCGAATTGAGCATTACAAAACCACCTGGGTGGAACACCATACTTTTTCAGAAAAGATGGTAAGACCGGTCGGGGAAGGTTGCAAACCCGTCTTCCCGGTCAATGTTCAATCGAATTGAGCATTACAAAACCACCTGGGCGGATCACCATACTTTTTCAGAAAAGATGGTAAGACCAGTCGGGTAAGGTTGCAAACCTGTCCGCCCGGTCAATGTTCAATCGAATTGAGCATTACAAAACCACCTCGGTGGAACACCATATTTCAATCGAATTGAACTCAAAAAAAGAAAAAAAGATAAAAGTATGTGACACAAGCGCGGTCTGGTACGCTGGTCTCACACCACTCTTGCACATATTAAAAAGACTGCGACCTAGTCGAACTGGTACACTGGTCCCACACCGATCTTGTGCAGTATAAATAAAAAAATAAAGAAAATATGTGACCTAGTCGAACTGGTACACTGGTCTCACACCAGTATTGCACATATTTTCCAACAAGCTTGAGCCCAATCGAATTGGGTACACCGGTTGCACATCGGTTTCAGAAAAAAAAGAGAGAGCCCAGTCAGAGTGGGGACATCGGGCCTACCTCGATCTTCGATATCTTTTCCTGAACACTTTTCACCTAGGCAAAGTCAGGGTGAACCAACCTACCCAAGATAAATAAAAAAACCAAAACTGCCCACCCGATCAAGATTCAGACTCGAGTGAGTGATAGGGTCACGATGGATTCACTTAACTTGGCTCGGAGGACTTTTTCAAGAATATGTTCCCCCGTTTGCATAGCCGAGGCCATGAAGGGAAAGAGTTGATTGCCTTGCTCACTCAGAGGACTAGAGCTCTTGTTCACTCGGGTGAAAGAAGAAATGACTCACATGATCAACTTTGAAGCATAGCCCGGGCATGCTCTGTCAAAACCCACCCGGGTGGCTTATTTTCTACTCTGGTAGAAAGAATGGTGAGATGCGTTAGACCGGGTAGATACAGCTTGGCCGTGAACAAAGAGATTGAGAGTTCGAACGGCCGGGTTAAAATCCTGCACCGAGTTGCTCAAGATCCCGTACAGCCCACGATGCTTTTGGTACTGACCGGTCCCAAACCCAAAGATACCAATGTCATCAATAAGTTGCTGGGACACTTCGAAGAACCGTATGCCGACCTCCCAGTTAGGAAGTGCCTGGGCAGCAAACTTCTCTGGTTCTGCGCAGCCCAAGCAACGGCGTGAACAACCCGGTCAGAGCGCTCCCTCTCCATCTCAGCCCTTAGCTGGGCATTCTCCTCTTCTAGCTGGCTCGTCTGCCCGGCCTTCTCCGCCAACTCAGCGATCTTCCACTTAGCCTGCTCATTCGACTTCTTGGCAGACTTTAGCAAGCCCTCGTGCTTGGCAAAGAGACCCTGGTAGGCTTCAGCCTGTTCGACCAGCTTCTCCTTCATTTTCTCGGGCGCCAACCGGGCTACCTTTGCATCCTTCTGGGCGGTGACCATCATGGCCTCCATCCAGAGCTTCTCATCTGTCTAGGACCTGACCAGCCGGGTGGCCCACTCCTGCCGATCCAGGAAGAGGAAACGACGCGACAACTAGGCGTCGGCATACCAGATTTCCGTAAAAACTTTCCCGCCAACCATACCCGAGGATTCAAAATTCAAAATTATTCACACATTTGATTCCCGCCCTTGATGGTACCCACAAAGCCGAGAATCGGAGGACTCCTGGATGGATATAACTCACTGTACCACATGGAAATTTCACAGATGCCCGAGGGTACCGAATTCTGGCCCCACCTGACTTCACCAACCCCGGGAGACTGGCCGGGTGGATGTCACAAGCGCCCGAGAGACGGTCCCTACATTATAAATAACTACTCAGGTTATATGTGTATCCACCTACAACCCTTCTGCTTTTCGTAAAATAGCATTACGTTGGTTTTACACCATCACCGTGCAACGCACGAGTGAAATACTAGTTAATCTATAGACTTAACAGAATCTATAGATACTAATATATAATTTATCACAATCTTTTAAAATATGAATTGAATAACCTTCTTAGAATTTGAAAAGTGAGACGTTCAATCCTTTTTTTTCTTTTAGCTTTCCTTTTTCTTTCTTTCTTTTTGTGTGTAAAGAAAACCAGCACCAGTGGATGCCTTGCTTCTAACGATAAGGTGTTGCGTTGAAATGTTGAATACACAAAGCGAAATGATGAGGCACCCAATTGAAGGGGCCGCAAAAAGCCACCCTGCCTCGGTCCCGGTTTAATTGATTAATGATCCGAATTTGAGGGGCCGCCAAAAACCACCTGCCCTGGTCCCGGTTCAATTGATTGATGATGGATTTGCCCCCGACTTTCCAAAAAAGTTGTACGCTTCTCTCTTGTCCTAAGGCCATCTCCAATGAGATGCCCAAAGGAGATGCTCAAAGGAGAGAGAAGAAGATGTTTATAGATGCTACTATTGGAGATAGATTCTTAGAGTAGATGTTCAAAGAAAAGAAGTGAGAGATGCTCAAGAGAGCACTGGGTGCTAGCATTCAAAATTATGTGTGCATTCTTTCTTTTTCTTTTTTTGTGAAATATGTCTTTTTTATGATACATTCTCTTTTCAATATTTTTTTTTATTTCTTTAACGTGTAGTGATGCTACAATTCTATACCAATATTGTGTCTCTTTTTTTTGGAAAAGAATCTTTACAATTTTTTTAAAGAAACCAATTTTGAAAATTTTTTTCTTTTCATTTTTTTAACTTGTAGTGATACCCTGAAAAATCTATTTGAAGTTGTGTTTCATTTGATTGAGTTTGATTTGCACAAAAAAATGAATAAAATATGACACCCTATTTTGTTTTTAGTAATACCAACATGTCTTTAATTTTTTTAATAAAAATATTTTGCAAAAAAAAGTCATTAATAATATTTTTAATTATTTATATTATTTTTTCCAAAAAAACAGTTTAATTAAAAATTTATTACTCTATATTTAACACTCCTATATATAATATAAAAATTTAAAATTAAAAAAAAATAATAAAAATTATTTCTGTATGTGAGTAGGATTTGCCTTAGGGAAGGTTTCATCGTATGAAGATTTGTTTCAAATGAGTTGATGTTCAAAGAGATGTACAATAACACAAAGAGAGCTGTTACCACCACTTTGGATCTCGAGAACAATTCAGGCATCGCGAGGTCTAGAGAGAGGGAGAGAGAGAGAGAGAAACACAGAAGGATCGGAAGCAACTGTGTAGAGGGCAGACAGAGAGGGAGATGGGCACCCTACAAACATGGAGGAAGGCCTACGGTGCTCTCAAAGATCACACCAAAGTAGGCCTTGCCCATGTCAATAGCGATTTCAAGGTCTTCCTTCTCCTTCTTTTCATTTATCTGTGTCAAAATCTTCAGTTGTGTCAATATGTTTGAGCGCTGTTCCTGTTTTGGCTTTATGGATTTATGCTGGTATGAATTCCGCTTAATATCGATCTTTGACGCCCCATTTTCCGTTTCTTAGGATGTGGACGTGGCCATCGTTAAGGCTACGAATCATGTTGAGTGCCCGCCCAAAGATAGACAAATTAGAAGTGAGTGTCCCCCACTCTTCAGCAGATTTATCTGCTGTATGCTAGCCGTATGTCTGCGATTCATTTTTTCCTTATGTGCTTGAAGAAAACTTGATCAAGTTACTTGTTTTCTTGTTTTGGAAACATGGACCTTTTACCTAGTGGAGCTTGTAGTGTCTCTTCAACTCTGGGTGTTCTGTTTTGATTTTGTCCGATGGAATTGTGTGGAAGTGAAAATGCATTTTGTTGAATTGGATTTTAAGGAAATTTTTGCGTTTGGGGGTTGGCTTCACATTTCTCTATTAAGAATGTCTAAAGCTAGATTTGGGGTATTCTATTTTGTTTCTTGTTGCAGAAATTATAGTTTATACATCAGCAATGCGGCCCAGGGCTGATGTTGCATACTGCTTGCATGCGCTTGCTAGGAGATTAGCAAAGACACATAACTGGACGGTATGTACTGCAATTTACAGATAGGGTTGAATCGAGATGCTATGCTCTTACCTTTGGGCTTACAGTATGTGTTGATCTGATTTCAATGAAAATTTCCATTTTAAGATAAGTTCTTGGTTTGATCGTTTGAATGTCATTGAACATTTTACTTGAGATATCAAGTTATTTATTATCTTCTAAGATCATCGTGGCAAGGCTACCTTAAATTTTATTCTAGAGTGCAGTTTACTTTGTGCCTAGTCCATCGTTTGTTGTTATGATAGTGATGGTTTTGATATCTCTACTGCATAAACAATTATTGTTGGAATGAAGGACCAATACAGAGGGTGATAGAGTCATGCCAGAACTTGCAGTTAATTTTTTGTATTTATTCATTTAAGGTCTTGCAAGATATTTAAATGCATCACTTTTTTACAAAACTTTCCTATGGTATTCTGATGGGAGGAAACAGATGAAAGTTATGCTACATATAGGAATCAGATAGTCAGATACATTTTAACAGAGTGCTTCAGCAATTTCATAAATGAAATTGCTGCTGACTTTTCAATATACAACCAGTATCCTCACAACCAACTTTTTTAGCCTTCTCTTATATGGTTTTATAATTTTGGGATGAGTGGAGTTGAAACAGCCTCACTACAATTTTTAGGTTGGGGTAAGGTCTCCAATTCCATAATCACTCTCGAAACACCACTTGTTGGACTTTACTGGGTTGCTATTGTTGTGGGGATGAGTGGAGGGAGTGCTGGTAAGTATGAAAATGCTAGGATGACATCACCTATACTGTGGGGCAGACCATCTCTGTAAAGCTGCAAATATACCCTCTTCCCATATGCTTTAATATTCATTCATTCAAGGGACCTTTTACTCCCTTTTAGCAGTTTTATAAGTAAAGTGTTTTGTCATGCAGTTAGTATATTCAGTATAAAACCACCAATGGTCTGATGGCCTATGCCTCCCTTTTTTGGCAATGTTGGGAGTTCGAACCCAGCCAATCATCTCTTGTTATCTTTAAATGTTTGTTGAAAAACATGTATAATATTTCTTTAAAATTACCTGGAATGAGATCAATCATCAGAACTAGTAAATCCATGTTAATCACTGCAGATCATTCCTGTATAATTTCCAATATACCCTCTTCCCGTGCACTTGCATATTTATTCACTCAAGGATATACTAGTAAATCCATGGTATAAATGCCTTTTAGCATTTTTATATCTGTTATGTCATGCATTCAGTAATGTATAATATTTCTTCAATTTCCTTTACGCATATCTGGAACGAAATCAACCAACGGAATGCTTTTCAATTGAGTGTGGATATGGCAAGTTTTTTTTGGGGGGGTCAGGTGTTCGCGGTCAATTAATTTGAACATAGTTTTCCCTTACTATGAAGCTTCAAAATGATAACTTCTGTTAAGTATTTCAACCTGTGCTCAGAGGTTGCTGGTTACGCGAATGTGTTCCTTTTGGCCCTTGTTGAAGGAAGTATGAAACTATTGTACTCATGTGTGAGGTGTTGGTAGTTGACATTAATATAAAAAGAGTCACTTATAGCTTTGTATAACCTTTTCTAAATTTATGATGAATTTTACTTGGTTTGATCATTTGCATGATGTCTGTTTGCTAGTTACACATATGCACTAGCTAAACCTTGGTGGGTTGGAAAACAATTTATTGATAGTTGAGAAAATTACCATGTATTCATTCACTCTTATGTAATTAGAACATGAATATTTGTGTGGACATAAAGGGGATATTGTAAAACACCTCATTTTCTAAAATATCTTTGCAACTTTCATTCTTTTAATGCGGCTGATATTTTCTTTAAATAGTATAGAGATTGAACTTATTGATATTGTTTCATCCCATGTAGGTGGCACTAAAAACACTCATTGTAATCCATAGAACATTGAGGGAAGGTGATCCTACTTTTCGCGAGGAGCTTTTGAATTTTCAGCAGAGAGGCCGCGTTCTTCAAATGTCTAATTTTAAGGATGACTCAAGCCCTATTGGTCAGTAGAAAAAGTGTTGTACATTTTTATTGTATTTCTCCATGCTTTGAGTTTCAGTAACTGACCAGCTTTCGATTATGCTATGAGATCATCTAAGTTGTGAGCACAATTTTTTTTTTAACTCAGCTTGGGATTGCTCTGCATGGGTACGCACATATGCTCTCTTTTTGGAAGAACGGCTTGAATGCTTCAGGGTTCTAAAGTATGATATTGAAGCGGAGAGACTTCCAAGACCTGCTCAGGGCCAAGAGAAGGTGCTTCCTAATTTAATGGCTGAAATAGGGATTTGATCCCTGACCCTTGTTTCTTTTACTTTTTCATAAAGAAAGAAGTGACAGTAAATGGGTGATAACACAGTTGTACTTGTTATGGACGAATTGGATTAGTGTTTAATTATGTCACTGTGTAGCAGCATAAGAATCAAACTAAGAAGGATATTCAAGTCCCACTCCGACATCCACCCACAACAAGCAACAACAAACCTAGTATAATACCACATAGTGGGGTTTGGGGAGGGTGGTGGGTAGGTGTACGAAGACCTTACCTATACAAAACACAAAGAGATTATTTCCAAGAGTCCTGAACTCAAAACACAGAAGAACCTGATGAAAAATTGAAAGGGAAAAAGAAAAAGGAAAAGGGAGGTACATAAAAAGGAGTAAGCACACACCTAACTACAACAAAGTATGGCAACAAATCCTATGCATGGGTAGACCGCACCCCACAAGGCCTACCCTACCACTATAATCCATGAGAAGTTGGTGAAGATAGATTCCAGTATAGTAGCCAATCGTAACTTTCGGCATTCAGCAAAGATTAGTGGAGGGAGGTTGAGAAAAATCCTGCCGGAGATCAGGAGCCCGAGAGGATTGCGGGGAATGGAGTTCAGAGAGTGTGGAAAAGTGGCCACGTAATCATGAAGAGTTGTACACAGGTTGAGTAGAGGTAGATCGTTCACACAACTTATCCTCCACAGAAGCCACTCTTACTCTTTCCTAAATAACTTTGTTCTACACCCTATCCATCCTTGTATGGCCACACATTCATCTCAGCATCCCCATCTCTACCACTTGGAGCTTTTGAAGTTATTCACTGCCCAATACTCTCCCCTCCCCCATACATCATAGCTTCCATTTCATCCACGCCACTCCAATATGATGAACAATATTCCCATTGATCTCCCCATCATCCTGAAAGGTGGACCCCAGGAACCTAAACGTGTCCCTCTTAGGTACTTGTAGAATATAATCCTCACTTTGATTTTTGACTCACTCCTCAAACAACTAAAATTGCATTCCAAATACTCAGTCTTTGGAAAGTGTTGTCGTGCTCTTACTTTGTTCGTGCATATGTGTTTACCATAGTTGTCACAATGCCAAGGCGAGGCGCGTCGCTAGTGTACTGCCATAACGCCTAGACAACTAGGCGACTGCCTAAGCGACCTAGGCAGCAACACACAGGAAATCTGGATTGGTATACGTTAGTAACACTAAGTATAACTAATACAAATATAAATATACATGTTCTCTTAACCTAATCAAAATTTCAAATAAACATGCATAAAAAATATTTTTTTGAAGGAACATGCATAAAAAATATAAATGCACCTTAATGTGAAAAAAGAAGAATATAAAATACAAAATATGATTGAAAAACAATATGCAAATTCTTAGTGCAATGTAAATACTGATGGTGTTTCCTTTGTATTTTTTGTGCTCCAAGCCCAGGGTCTCTTGAAAACATCCTCTCTACACACAACCTCCGCAAACCCTACTTTTCCAGGGGTTGTTGTTTACCTTAGTTTGCTCAGTCAAACATGCACTATAGAGTATGTCTCCACTCTTCTAACCTATCAATGAGTACCTCATGAGTTGCATCAATCATAACAATACCATAGTACCTCCCATAGCAAACACTTGGGACTAACGGTAGACCCCTACCCACTCCCGCTCACTGATATATACGCAAAGGATCTTTTGACCCTTGAACCCCGGGTCATATTATGGCCTAGGCCCCTACAGTGCTCCGTTCGTAAAATTGATGGTTTGTACCCCCCTAACCCTCCCTAAAGGGTGGGGTGGGGTGGACAGGTAGGGGGCAGGGGGGTAGGGTTTAGGGAGGTTACGGGGGGTAGGAACCATCAATTTTACGAACGGAGCACCGTAGGGGCCCTGGGTCATAATATGACCCGAGGTTCAAGGGTCAAAAGAACCATTTTGATATATATATATATATATATATATATATATATATATATATACATATATATATATATACATACATATACACACACACACATACTCCCTCCGTCCACAAATAAACTTTACGTTCACTATTCACAGGGTCAAACTTTATTCACTTTGTTGGCCTATTTTCGTCACTTATTTGATAAAATAATATAGTCATGTCACCTCTAGTTTTGTAGATCTTTTGATATAGTTTTTTAATTTATAATTTTTATTTTTTAATTCTACACCATTTTTCATATAAAATGATTTGAAAATAACTTCAGTCAAACATCGTAACGCGTAATGTAAAGTTTAATTTTGGACGGAGGGAGTATATATATATATATATATATATATATATATATATATATATATATATCAAAGGAATATTCTGACTCCTGGTTTCACGAGTCTTTACTTGGACTCTTTGGAAGGTCTATAATTAAAAATTAATATGCTATATGAAGGTGAGGCTTTTTCTTTGAAAAGGAAAATGTTGGAATGAAAAAATGTATTCAAGCTTGGTGCTGGATTAACAAAAGGGACCTTCAAATTCTACATAATGATTAAATTCTAAGCTTTGGTCTTGTACACATCTTTAGTACTCCCTCTGTTCCGTTAGAATCTTTACACTTTGACTTTGCACGGGTTTTAATGTAATATAAAATTTGCTTTGACTTTTAATTATGCCCTTCTCTTTATAATTAAGCCTTTCATCTTCCGTCTCAATCCACCCCACCTGCCTCTATTCCAAACCGCACTCCATCCTAAATCAAAATCCAGAAAACAAAAATCACCATATATTGCTTATTATCTACCGCTTGAATTGTAAAATTCAAAATGAAAATGACTTCATCGCCAAGATCAGGTAGTTGCTAAGTAATGTGGTAGTGTGCCTAAAGTCTAGGAATAGTTACTAGGTAATGTGGTAGTGGGCCTAAATTCTAGGGATTGGTAGTTATTTGGCTTCTATAAATATTGAGGCTCATTATTTGTAAAAGTTATTCAGAAAGTAATTTAATATTTATTATTGGAGATTCTCCTTGGCTTTATTATGTATATGAGTTTAAGACTCTTGCTCATATTCTAATAAAGATTTCCCTTCATCTTTATTATTTTATGAATTTAGATTCTGATTTCATAATTTGATATAGACTTCCTTTCATTAATTCTCCCTCCCAGTCTTGAGTTCTATCATTTGATATCAGAGCCATATGATCTTTATGGGTTCTAGAAAAATTCAGTTTCTCCATTTTCCCCATACATTTTTCCATCCAACAGTTATTCTCCTTAAGAAGTACACCAATTGCTTTAAACTGTAGCTCGCCTTGATGTCATTAATTCCAAACAGGCAGCATCTGAAGTTCAAGGTACGGCTGTTAATTATGTGACACCCTACAAAAGAATCTCATCCAGTAAATTCCATCTAAAGGTGAAAGGAAAGAAAATTTGAAAACAGAAGGGCAGGATTGCATTTGTTTGTAAGCCCAAACCCAATTCCTTTGTAGCCAACCGCTTCAATTTCTTTAGTCCAACAAGTAATTTCCTGCGTGAGGACAAAGAATTTCAGTTGCAACTCTAAGTTGGCCCCTGATTGTGAATGCAATGGTGTTGTCCTCACATTGCTCTTCCATGAATCTGACTAGAGCATCTCTATTGGACAGCAATCGGCAATAGCAATCCGAGTTGAGGCTGTTCCAATATGAAGGAATGATTACTATTGGTTGCCACTATCAAACCTCTTCATTCTCACCAAAAGAATTGGATATAGGAGCCATGATTTTTATGCAAATTACTGATGAGAATGCCTCCGATTTGGGGTTACAAAACTCTTATATACGTGTCAACACCATCCTGGGAAATTCTATATCATCACTGATAAGGCTTCAAGAACCCTTGGATAGTGGTGTCATGCATCAATCTATCTTTGAAGCTGTTATGCCATATTTGGTCCCTTTTGTTTGAAGCACCATTGCTCTAATTGGATTTTTTTATTATATTGTCTTCCTACCACCTATACCGAAACCTCCAGATGTGCAAAGAAGCTATTGTTTAGATTTTGCCTTGAGGACAATGCAAATTTTGGAGGGGATAATGATAGAGTGCCACATATGCTTTTATTTTATGTTATTAATATTTATAATAGAGTCAGGTCAGATGTTTTATTTTATTGTTAGTTACTTAGTAGTAAATAATGTGTAAGTAGACCTAAATTCTAGGAGTAGTTGCTAAGTAATGTGGTAGAGTGCCTAATGGCTAGGAATAGTTACTAGGTAATGTGGTAGTGGGCCTAAATTCTAGGGATTGGTAATTATCTGGCTTCTATAAATATTGAGGCTCATTATTTGTATAAGTTATTCAGAAAGTAATTTAATATTTATTATTGGAGATTCTCCTTGGCTTTATTATGTATATGGGTTTAAGTTTCTTGCTCATATTCTAATAAAGATTTCCCTTCATCTTTATTATTTTTTGTATTTAGATTTTGATTTGATAATTTGATAAAGACTTCCTTTCATTAATTCTCCCTGGCAGTCTTGAGCTCTATCAGGTACTCTGCAACTTCTTTTGGCTAAAAGTGTCATTTTTTGTTCTGTTATATCATTTAACCATCAGGGTTACAGCAGAACTAGAGAATTGAATAGTGAAGTGCTCCTAGAGCAATTGCCCGCTTTGCAGCAGCTGCTGTATCGCCTCATCGGATGCCGGGTAAATTGACCAAGCTCAGGGTTAATATAACACCCGACTGTATAAAGCATTCCTATATTTGTAATATTGAAAAAGCTTTATATTGTTATATTGAATGTTTGTT